ATTACAGTTGTGTATATACTTTCTTAACCTTCATGTCATACATTAAAACAAACCAAAAATTACTGAACTAAATGTAAAATTTTAATTGAACTTGTTCCATTTTTTATTCAAATACTTTATAACATGGTTTTATTTTTTGTTGCTAAACTCCATGTTTTGATGAATTATGAATTTTCAAAACTTGAATAAAAGCAAATATTTTATGTTGAAATTTTCAATAGGGATTGTTTATCATTTTGTAGTTCTTCATAGATGTTATCTTGTTTCTTTTAGCATTTATATCCGATGTATTAAAAATATTGATAAAGGTTTTGTATATCATCTTGTTGTCCTGTTTGTTTTTAATCTGTGCTATAATGAATGCAACAAAAGGCCAAAAAATGCACCAGAATGCACCATTTAAGAAACCTTCATTTTTCAAAAATTTTTCCCCGGGGGAGGCCCCGTAACCCCCACTACGGGAGGGGACAACCTCCCGTACCCACCCAATGGGGTTTTCACACTTCATGTCAGCCCCCCCAAGTCAGCCCTGTTCTGTATCCGCCCCTGAAACTGATCATATAATATATGGCAAGATTTAAAAAAATATTATTATTTAAACATTTTTTTCTCACTTTTTATTACATTGTCATCCTTGCCCTATCATGGGACGACGTATAAACAGGTTTTATTATTTTTATTATTATTATTGTTGTTGTTGTTGTTGTTGATGTTGTTCAAAAGCGCAGAATTTGTTTGAGCCTTCATAATGTACAACTGCTTGTTTCAAAAAGATACACGTTTTTTCTTTAGACAGGATTTTTTTTTCTTTTTATAAATTGATACGGTGATTAAATTGAGATCTTTTGAAAATGAATATTACAGATGAATACAAATTTGCTTAAAGCTATGCTCCCAGCTCACATACATATGGGTCTAAAACATCAACATATTTATTTGCAGTTATAAGATATGTATATACATGTAAGTAAAAGTTTCAGTTTCCGTGAGATAACTGTGACCTCACAGTTGATATGCTTTAATTGACACATATATTTTCACTTGACACAGATATTTAAACACCCCTATTATCACACCCGTTAATATGTAACGAGTAGAACAGTTTGCTGCAGGTAAAACTGACTACATTCATTATATAAGTGTCAGTTTTAAACCGGATTATCAAGACATATTCTACTCTTTTTGTCACTTTTTAGAGACATAAATTTATAAATATCATATACTGTGAAGCAAGCGATTGCAGGTTAAAAATCTTACCAAGCGCACAATTGTTCTACCCTACTTATTTAAATCAATATTTATGAAATAAAACGTTACAGCGATTAAAAATCACAGTAGGATAAACATTGCAAATACTTTGATGTCTATTTTTGTGTTTTTTCTTTGTCTGACAAGACATATAATAATCATCTAGTTCCATATACATGGACCAGCCTGTGGTGATTTTTTTTATCCTTTTATGTCATTATTTAAAACAAAAACGCTCACACTACATTGTGTGGGATGGTAGCTCTCTGTTAACCGAATTAAGATACTTTGCATCCAGGTGTTTGAAAAACAAATTATTGCACAAATCCTATAATTATAAGCATGCTGACTGATAATTTTTTAACTTAAATTGAATGTTCTACATGTTTTTTAAAACAATATATTTATGTATAAAAAATGCAGATTGTGTTAGACAGTTCTATATTTTTAATGCTGATACATTGAACGTATTTCATGTTAATAGTGAACTCATTACATTTTGTTATTGTACTTATTTCAGATCAATGTTGTGCATATTTCATACTAATATTGTACATTTTTCATGCTTATAGTGTAAAAATTTCATACGTTTTTTTTAAAAAATATGTGTTGTTTTGGTGTATTTTAACTGATACGTTTTTGTACAGAATACATGTTTCATGTTACGTAATAATGTATATATTATATGTGAATGCTGTGCATATTTAATGTTACATGTGTTGTAATAATCGCTGCAAATGGGGTAACAAAGTGCATTGTTTGTTTGTTTACTTTTCTGGGTTTAACGCCGAATTAATAAATATAGTTTTATCTATCTATATATCTCGGTGGTCGATCCCCAAAAGTGATATCCTGGACAACTTACAACTTATTTGTTTGTTTGTTCTTTTTTGTGGGTTTTAAGTCACAACGAAACTATCCACCGAGGTTCCTTACGCTAGCTGGGTAGCTTCATCGCATTAAAGAATCCAATGTCACTAGCGAGATTCGGACCCAAAGCGGAGAGTTACAAGTGGTTGGACCTCAGCGACCTTTGTCCTTTGGCCACGGAGGCACTCTACCGCAAGAAACTGATTACTAATTCAACGTATTTCTGATTCAGCAGTGAGAGGAAAATTTAATAATCAAAAGATGCAATGTCCGGAATCTATTGTCACGAAAATTACGCCTCGTTCGTGCTCCAGCATCAACAACATGCTCTCCTGTGTCAGCTTAAAGCAGCACGCATCCAGATTCATGCTAATAAATTATTTTCATGAAAATTTTACCAAAGTTTTACCAAAAGTTTTACCAAAGTTTTACCAAAAGGAAACAATTTACATCTTATCAATGCCACTTACAAACCACATAAATTACCAAAAAGTGGTCAAAATATGCATAAATAGCCTTTACTGAGTTTGTAACGCAGTAGAAACATATTTGTAAATACTGAAAAATAGTCATTCATCGCACATGATATGTAAAATATTTACTTTTCCTTACATCTTAGCTCATTTTTATCTCAAGTTTGATTTTATTGAAATATTTGACTCATCTGGAGGCATGTAGCTTTAAATTCGATTGCTTTATTTTATTGTTGCGTAAAAACTTGTTGTGAAACAAAGATATTTATGTCCAAACATTGCTCCCAATAGTTATACATGTATAAATGATAGTGTACGATAATTTGTTTTAATACGCCACACATTTGGTTTTTTTATGAACTATTTTTTTCTGTTTTATTTCAGCAAATAATATTGATAATGTGTTTGAATCTTTTCCGACTTTCATCTGATTTTAATTGTTTATCTTTTCTTAAGATGTGGCCATTTTTAAGATCCGAATTGGTTACTTTATCAAAAAGTCTTTATCAATCTTGAGACACATTTGACTGACATTGCTACCCTTTGACTCTGACAGTAGGTCACATATTAACTACTCATGGTGTGTCTACATGTTTAATAAAATTTGTTAAGCCTGATTTACTTATTTTAGTATATGGGTGTCACGGTCAGCATTTAAACGGTGACTTATTAACCGTGTTAAACATTTTACAGACAGTACTGATTTTAAAAACATTATCTTTTTTCACTAGTATTGATATAAAAATTATGGTGGCATATTTCTGCCACCAGATAACCTGATACCTATCTAGTTAATTAAGAGGTTAACTAGTTACGTAACTAGTTAACCTCTTAATTAACTAGTAAGTTATATGGTTATCTGGTGGCAGAAATATGCCACCATAAAAAATAGCACATTAATTTTAATTGTGTGTTGTACTCAAAAACAATTACAATACACATTCCATTATAGATAATTGTTGTCCGTAAGAACCGTACCGTACAAGATAAGATAGCAAAAGATTTAAAAGCAAAAGATTATAAACAAATGTATTTTTAAAATCAATCTAAAAATTCTAACGTTTTCAGCTAACCTCGTTACCGGTTTCTTCAATTTCTTATCAGTTTTAAGCTATAAACCGACCCGGCCCCATCAAACGGATAAACTTGACATCCCTAAGTATGTCATTAAAGATCCTGTAACACTATTTTTATGTGTTTTGTTACTCTCAAATGAAGATGTATTAATATTGTAAGTTTCAAAAAGCATAATTTGTAAAGATATTACCAAATTTACATTTCATGTTAATAAAGGGAGGTAATTAGAAAAAAAAATCTATAAATTCTAATTCATTTTTTTTTTCAATAGGGAATGAATGCGTATATTTTAATGATTACATATAATATGGACAAATATTTACAGTTCAAATTTTACATATTTTTCGATGTTTGAAAATTTGTTTTAAAAGTATAACAATATACTTAAAATATACTTTTATATATATAAGACTTTACTTAAGTGTGGTAACAACCTTAATTACAACATACAGGATCTTAAAGACATTTTGTGTGGGAAGGGTTACAGTTACCGCAAACCATTATAAAAGTTTACTAATCAAAGGTTGTACTAGATATTGTCTCTAAATCTGTGTTTTAGCTAGGTTCACATGATACCGTGTATGACGCCGATGGTTGGAGAACGTATCAATGGGATATCATAATGACCTCTGGATCATCAATAGGTCGGCTGTCACATATGACCTTTTACAAACTTTCTACAATAGTAACTGGGCAAACGCATATGACTGATGACAAATTGTTGTTATCTGAAGGAAGCGTAGTAAAGAAGAATCGTCTAAAATGCTAAATATTTTAGGCAAAGAAAAATAAATCTACATTTAGGCAGTTTTATCTTAAATTATCTATAAATTAGCTACTTTAAATTCCTTTTATTGAAATTAGACTTAAAACAAAATCGCTATAATTGGTTAGGTATAATTTAATGTTTAACTATTTATAGGGGCTTTCAAACAAAATCTTGATGTATGCAATACAATAATTCACCTTTTTTGTTGAATGCATATAAATAAATGAATAAATAGGGTTAGACATGTAGAATCTATAATATTTTAGAATCTAGTTTGTTTGCTTTTGGTATGTACTACCCGTCAATGAGAATAAACTCTTAATCATACATGTAAAATAAATTAGTGAGTGTCTAAATAATATAAATTTTGATTTTATACAAAGTACAAAATGTTTTATTTCTGGCATGTCGTACACATTACAATAAAGGTACTCAACTGAGGTTTTATTACATGACTGGATGTAAATCTTTACAAACCACATATGTGCAAAAATTGATATCATTCCTCAGTCCGATATTCAAGAATTATGGTTTTATTGTGTAATGAACCTCAAAAGAAAGGCGTTTACGCTTTGAACTCAATTGGGGCTTATAATTGCACAAACTATCGAGTCCTTGTATATTTTTAGATGCACCAGCTTATCTATGTTTTATTTCTGTTAGGGTTATTGACCTCATTGGAGCTCCTTGAACATATCTATTAAACGACCTTGAGATCATATGCCTCATCGTCAGAGAACCGACACTCATAATAGTATACCACGTGCAGAGATGCCGGCATAGGCGAATCAATCCACTTAAATGGTTTCATTTGTTTTTAGTTTTTATTTCTTTTTATATATTGAAACAATCATTTTTTCGAAATCAAACATTTGTCATTTGTTCAATACTATTTCGTTTGATCTGTAAAAATTACAATGATTGTGATCCGTTCGGATTTTATACTTTAACAATAAGACTTGACATACAGCCACCGTCTACCACATGCATCTGACCGGTTACCATAGCTGAATGATCACTCAAAAGGTACATGATTGGATCAACAATATCTTCCATTGTTAAAATTCTTCCCATTGGTATGTTATTAATAACTGTCTCTAATGACAATGTTCCGTTTTCTACCAGATTTTGAACTAGAGGTGTGTAAACAACAGCGGGATTCACTGAATTCACACGTATTCCGTTTGGTCCAAGTTCAAGAGCAAACTGCTTTGTTACCATATCCATACCAGCTTTCGAAACAGAGTATGGAAGAGCCCTTGGATAAGCAGCTAAGCTTCCAACGCTTGAACAATTTATAATTGATCCTTTGACCTTTGATTCAATCATTTTCTTTGCAACAACCTGCGAGCAATTTATTGCACTAAGTAGATTGTTGTCCAGTATATGTTTTATGTATTCTTTAGGACAATCAACAGCATCGTAGTCGTGACCTCCTATACCAGCATTGTTAACAAGCCCGTCCAAAACTTCCAGCTGTTCTAGTTTTTCTCTCGTATCCTCCCAGTCACAAAGGTCAGCAACAATCGGTATAATATCCGGACATTCTTCCACTAAACTATCTAATGTTGATTTAGTCCTACTGAGAGCATACACTTTACTGCCAGCTTTATTTAATGCAATAGCAACTCCACGTCCTATTCCTTTTCCTGCTCCGGTTACCAACACTTTCTTTCCTCTAAAATCGAAAGGCATTTTTTCAATGTTGTCACTAGCATTTACAAAGTTTGAATAAACACCCACAGAAAGAGAAGCACAATAAATATCGTGGCACAGAAAGGTCAATACGGGATATTACTGACTGACATTTTCGCATTCCATTATCATTGTCAAAATAGATTGTGAAGGTTACCGTTACCGTTGTAAGATAGTAAACAAAATAACGAAAGATGTGGGTCACGTTTTATGGAATTTAACGCATTCTATTATAAAGCATACCCTGAAGTCGCCATAAACAAAACTAAAACAAACTTGGTAGCAATATCAATTAAACAATTCTTGTACAAAACAACTATATTGGACGAGTAGATGCTATGATTTTATTTATTATAAAATTCATGATATGAATATCCATATAACTGGTATAACCCGAATTTGAAAAGTTAACGATTAGATAAAATGCTTCGATACAGATAATAAAGATCTTTAGGTGTCATTCATGTTAATGCACACTATATGACGGATTTTTATCTTAAATTGTCCTAAAAGCAAAATCAAATATGCCTTTCGATTTTAGAGGAAAGAAAGTGTTGGTAACTGGAGCAGGAAAAGGAATAGGACGTGGAGTTGCTATTGCATTAAATAAAGCTGGCAGCAAAGTGTATGCTCTCAGTAGGACAAAATCTACTCTTGATAGTTTAGTGGATGAATGTCCGGATATTATACCGATTGTTGCTGACCTTTGTGGCTGGGAGGATACGAGAGAAAAACTAGAAAAGATTGAGGTTTTGGACGGGCTGGTTAACAATGCTGGTATAGGAGGTCACGACTACGATGCTGTTGATTGTCCTAAAGAATACATAAAACATATACTGGACAACAATCTACTTAGTGCAATAAATTGCTCGCAGGTTGTTGCAAAGAAAATGATTGAAGCAAAGGTGAAAGGGGCAATAGTTAATTGCTCAAGCACAGGAAGTTTGGCTGCTTTCCCAAAAGGCCTTCCGTATAATGTTTCAAAAGCTGGTATGGATATGGTAACAAAGCAGTTCGCACTGGAGCTCGGACCTTACGAAATTCGTGTCAATTCAGTTAATGCCGCCCTTGTTAGTACGCCATTAGTTCAAAGTCTTATTGAAAGGGGCACATTGTCAGAAAATACTTTCTCCTCTAGGATGCCAATGGGAAGAATTCTGACCCTGGAAGAAATTGTTGACCCGATTTTGTACCTCCTTAGTGAACATTCAGCTATGGTCACAGGTCAGATGCATGTTGTAGATGGCGGTTGCATGTCTAATATTACTGTCAAAGTGTAAAACAAATGAATACTTCACATTTTAGTACTGTTGATGTATTTATTAGAAGTGTAGAAGTGATCTTTGCTACATTTTCTAGAAAGCAACAATTGTTTATATAACAAACATAAGTGAGTAACATGGGAAAGTATACATATATTCAAATTATGTTATAATCAAATTGTTATGAAGGTTTTCGCATTTTCGTATTTACTTGATTATATGCGCATATTCGTATTAAATATATATCTTAATAAGACTTACTTTGTTATTATTGATACCAAACAATTCATGACAGTTCGATTATACAAATTGTATGGAGAGATATACTACTCAACCCGACACCAAAACCGGAGTCCTCGCCTGCGTCAAGATTTCTGATAAAAATTTGATTTCACTGTAAAAGAGTATTCTCTAAAACTATGTATTCTTTGTAACAAAAAAGAGATTTTAGTCTTTAAATTTTTGTTCCATAGCATCTCCAATGCTAAGCATGTTTCAGAACTCTAGTATATATATTGTAATAATTATTTCCAATTAGAACTTTTAATTGTGTATAGAAAGATTGCCCTGGTTTACTCGTTCGTCGTTATATGCATCCCCATCATAATTGACAAATTTCATAACACATTCACATATACCGTATATTCCCCACGAGTGGTCTCGCATTTGGCCTTCGAATATCATATTTAATCTACAATCACTATTACTTAAATCATTTAATATACATGAATAAGAAATGGAAAACCTAAGGCTAAAACAATACAATTCAAAGGTTCATGCCATCAATCACATTACATATAACAAGTTCAAAATCTCAAATATTATTTCTGCATACAGCCAGAATGTTGTTTCTTTTACTTTGTCTTTATACAAAAATGTTAATAGTTTAGGAGTATCTTATTTATCGCAAACATGAAGTATTGCCATTCTCTATGATTTAAGAATTTCTTAATACTTACTAATGTCATGCGAAAATTTTAAATGGTTAACAACAAAGACCCCTATTTCCAGAATTACGTTTCTTCACTTATTCAAATTGCATTTGTTTTTCATTACAATACATTTATCTCTCATCTAATATGTATTAGTGAATACATCATCAGAATTTTTGTTACAGAACAATGGCTAAACTTAGAATATATGTTACGCCAATATCACATTTGGGAATATGACTATGTGAATCGCCGAGGGAGTCATTTGTTCATTGCATCATTGGCATAATAAAACCTAACAGAAAACAAACACACTGTAAACGATGTTGCTTCAGAAATGGTTATCAATATCCCCTGCCTAAGGGAAGTTTTACATGAAGCACAAATTTGAGCTTTTTCAAAAGAGGCATAGATTTTCAGTGCCAAATCTTAATCAGTGCTAGATCTGCACGTGCAAGTAGCAATAAATTCATTAAAGAAATATAATGTAATAACTTCCCTGTATATGTAAACAGACATACATTTGAATAGTTGTTATTTCTATTTTAAGACCACAAAAGACACAAATACAAAATCATTAACGGTTATTGGTCTGTTGCAGGTTATATTTAGTGCCCAGACCATAACTTTTTTATCTATCAAGGTATGTGGGCGATTCACTAATGACATTTTATTTGCATAGGCCTGACTTGGCATTATACCCTGTAATAGACCCTTTCGGGCTTTGACCTCAAAGTGTGAGCTTAGTTTCTGGGTTTAGAGCATAACCCATCGTTATTTCAAAACCAATTGTTTGATACAAAAGTTATTTACCGAACACAAAAAACGTATACCGTATAAAAGACCATATTCAGCGCTGACTTCCAAGTGTGACCTTGACTTTGAAGGTAAAAGTCTGGGTGTTGCGCACAACACACCGTCTTATTGTGTAACCATTTGTGCCAAGTTATTTCAAAATACCTTGATCTATACCGGACATAAAATATGTCCTATAATAGACCCTGTTAATCTTTGGCCTCCAAGTGTGACATTGACGTTGGAGGTTGGCAATTGTTGCGCCTGACACTTTGTCTTATTTTTGTGAACAATACTGCCAAGTCATTACAAATTCCCTTTATGCTTTCACGGATAAGAAAGTTTTGAACTGAACACGACATTTACCCTCAAAAAGACAATGTTGACCTTTCATCACCAAGGGTGACCTTGACCATGGAGGTAGGGTTCCGGGTTTTGCGCAAGACATATCGTCTTGTTATAGCAAATATTTGTACCAAGCTATTTCAAATTCCTTTTGATAAATGACTTAGTCATGGACCGGACACGAAGGTGTAGTGAGCCTATTTCCATACCCCCCCCCCTCATTTTCTTCGAAAAGGCGGAGGACAAAAAGGATAAATCTTCATATTGTCACCTTAGTGCAAGTACGGATTTATTGTTTCTATTGAGTTTGTATTAAGTATAAATTATTGGCCTACTATGGAAATTCATATGTATAAATAAGGGACGAGGCACTAGCGTATTATCATCAAATCATCACGTGTCAAATTTCAAACAATATCTATTTTCTTCAATAACTTAGTATTATAATGAGCTATTTCCATCTTCAGACATTCTATTCATTCTTGGACAAAGAAATAGCATAGAAAACCGCTTACCTAATGAGATATATCGCCTGTCTTTAAAGAACGTTTTATACTTAGATTGCTTAAATCGTTGAAACAAGTGTTAAACCACTATATGTCATGTACTGTTCAAAATACTTTAAGATAAAATCCCGTGTTATGTTGTGTTTTTGGTCACCAAAAATGCTCATCAACCATGCATTGCCTAGCAATTGACAAGTGTCAAGAAAGTTATGTACGTTAGTTTTTGCAATACCCATGGAACTGTTCTCCAATTTCCTGTTTCTAGAGATCGTTTTATCTGTCTTATCCAAGTATAATATTAGTGTTGTATAAAAACATTTAATTAAGTTCGTCCTGGTATGACAGCCTTTATTTTCTGCATAAGGAGCAATTGTTGCTTTTCTCCACCGAATCATCCAGACCTGGCACCATATGACTTTTCCTCTTTCCTAACCTATTCATGAACCGGTTGAACCGGGTGATGCTCTCCGAGAAGGTTTTGAACACAGGAAAGTTTTAAAAAAATGAGCAAAGTGCAAAAACTCCCAACTTAGGCAAGGTAGAGTTATTGTTTTTTGCACTGCACTTCTATTTAATGAGATCTATCTATCTAAAAAGTTGCGTGATGATATCTCTTATAGTTTCAGAGTTATGTCCCGGGTAAAATTCAAAGTGTAAAAGTGAACAATGGGCAATAACTCCAAAATTAGAAAAGACTGTGTTTAGGTTCTTTAGCATTGCAGTTCTATCCAATGAGATATATGTACCGTCAAAGTTTCATGTTGATATCTCTAATAGATTAAGAGTTATGTCCCGGACAAAAGTCAAAAAGTAAAAATTAACAAAGGGCTATAACTTCATTATAAGACAAGGCAGAGTTATGGTTCTTTAGCGATGCACTTCTACCAAATGAGACCAGCTACCTACAAAATTTCATGTTGATATCTCTTATAATTTTAGAGTAATGTTCTGGACAAAGTTCAAAGTGTCAAAATGAACAAGGGCAATAACTCCGAAATTAGGCAAGACATAATTATGGTTCTTGTGCACTGCAAATCTACTCGATGAGATCTATCTTTCTGCAAAGTTTCATGTTGATAACTCTTATAGTTTTAAAGTAATGTCCCAGAAAAGTTCAAAGTGTAAAAAAAAACCAAAGGGGAATAATTCAAGTATTAGGCAAGGCAAAGTTACGGTTCTTGTGCAGTGCACACCTACTCATTGAGATCGATCTACATACAAAGTTTCATGTTGATACCTCGTGTTGTTTCAAAGTTATTTTCCGGACAAGAGAAACGGACGGACGGACAAAGCGGAGACTATATGCTCACCCTTCGTGGAGCATAAAAAACATATTGCAGGTGATTGCCAAAAGAGTAAATATGGACTTTGGTCGGCCATCGTTCGGCCCTTGGAAGGTATACCTAAAAAGAGCACCGTAAAGGCGGGACAATATACGCTCTACAGTAATAATCTTTCAATTAGGGTAGAGACCCAATTAAGAAACTTGTCTGAAAAATATTTTATCTTAATACTATATAGGCTCCAAGGCTGAGACATTTTTACCCTAAGTGCATAAATATTGATAAAGGTCCACTAGATAATGCTTTATGTCAAATATAGAGGCGAAGAATTTATCCACAATAAGAGAAGATCTGTTTCATATACCTTAGACTAGATAAAGTTATGTGACTTGCAAGACAGGGCTTATTTTGATGTTTAGGTCATGATTGATAGAACTTTTGTAGAAAACTACAAATTAATGCCAAATGCCAAATATCTTAGATTTGTGCTCTGTAGTTTCAAAACAAATATTATATTATAATACCTAAATATGTTTTCCTATAATCTAATGACCCCGGGGCAGGCTAGTTTTGGTCCCAGGAGTAAGATTATTTATAATTTTGCAGACGTTCACAAGTTAATGCTTCATGCTTAATATCTAAGCTATTGGCATTGTAGTCTCACAATATAAGACCGAAACGCCTTTTCTCATACAAAACTATTTAATCAAATTGACCCCAGGGGCGTGGTCAACGGCATGAGTAATGCTAGTTTTGTAAAGACCAACAAGGCAATGCTACAACTAGGCATTTTAGTTTCACCAAAATAAGACTCAAATGTGTTTTCCTTCACAATTATATATTAAATAAATGACCCACTAGGCGAGCCAATATTGACGCAAGGGGCATGATTAATACCAGTTATTTTTGATAAAAAAAATGGTGATCCATGCCAAATAGCTACGCTCTGGACATCGTAGATTCACGCATTACGTTTTAGATGTGTTTACCCTATATAAGTCTATATAAATCAAGTGACCCCTGGGGCGGGGCTAATATCGAACCAAGGCACATGATTCATATGAGTTTTGTAGATGCTGCATGCTTAAAATCTAATCTGTAGATATTGTAGTTCCGCATAATGAAACTTAAATGTGTTTTCATATACAAGTCTTCATGAATATAATTTCCGAAGCGGGTACAATTTTGATCTCAGGTTCTGCTCATCATCTTGTTATAAGTAATATTTATGCCAAAATTTTTAATTTCTTTCTATTGGTTCAAAAGATAATGAGCGGACAGGACATTTTGAAACTGATACAAAATGACTAAGATTGAGAAAGGTCAAATCTGTATTCTGCACATCGGATCATTGGGCTAACATTTCTGCCAAGTAGTTTCAATCTTTTTCACCGGTTCAATAAATACAGACCAGACACTAAACTGCTAACAGACGTACGGACGGACGACCACGAAATATTTTCATTATTATTATTATCATTATTATTTGTTTTATATGAAAAATTCAGGTCAATGTATCTGGCTTAACAATCATTATTTTTTTCCAAATAGATTGTGTACTTTGACTATGTCAAACGGGCACCTTCTCATAGCGACAGTATATTAAGTATTTAGGTGCGTTAAGAATTATGCTAATCTATGTGTAGTATTATACATGACTGTGAAGTAAATGAAAGGAATCTGGTGCTACCTAACTGTATAATGTTTGAATAAATTGTTGTTCAATTGTGTAATTATTTCAATTTACACAAATGATTTATGATAGTCATATTTTTTTATTATATACATGTACTGAAATTTATTCTGCAAATGTGCCGATAACGTAAATGTGTATATTTTATCTGTCATCTGATACATATAAAATGTCGAGACATATAAAGTATCGAGGAAAAGAGCTCCTCCTGACAAGGTACTGCGGTTGAAATTATATGTTGCATGAATTGTAAAATCATTTACTGTAGGCTTATGTTTATGTGCGTACGAGGGGTGTTCAAATATAAATACAACTGGGTCAATTTTTTCAGAAGTGCTTAACAAACAGTGGCTAAATTATTATCTCATTCCTTCAAAATACTCACCACCATGTGAAATACAATGTTTTAGTATTTTAAAACAGTTTTTAAATGCGTTTTCATAATCATTTCGAGGTAAACTGTTCAGACACTGGATAATCGCCGAACCGAGATTTTTTCGCGTTTGATATTTTCTTCCAACAAGGTGTTTTTTTAGCATCGGAAATAGGAAAAAGTCACAGGGGGCGAATGAGGAGGGTGAGGAAGCTCGACAACCTTTTCCTGTTTCAGATATTCTCGTACAATGGCCGCTTTGTGTGACGAAGCATTGTGATGAACATCCTGACACCACGGAGAACAGTTGCTGGTCGACGGTTTTTGAAATATTTCTTTAATTTATGAAGGTCCTTAAATTGCCTCTGTAAAACTTGGCATTTACCGATATACCCTTTGGTACGGCAATTTGAATAGCAAGACCTTGATTGGTAAAGAAAACTACATACATGACCTATCTGACGCTCATGGTGCGTTTTGCTATGCAAAGTCTTTGACTTCCTTTGGTTGCTCATATTTTGTTATGTATCTTTCGCTTCGGCTCATAAAAGTGAACCCACGTCTCATCGCAAGTGATGATACTTGCGAAAGATCGATTGTTGTATTTAGAGAACTGTTTCAACAATATTGTTTGGAAATTCTTACCCGAGCAAGTTTTTGCTTTTTTTGTAAGGACATGGGGTATCAATCTGGCACTTATCCTTCTGTAATCACGTCTGAGAATTGTATGAGCGGCTTCTACATAAATACCAACGCATTTAACTATATACCTATTTGTAAATCCTGCATTAGTTGCAATCAAATCCTTTACTTTTTCAACCACTTTTGACGAAGTTGCAGGTTTCGGACGGCATGCATGAGGTACTTTTACTGAATCCACACCACTTTCAAATTTCTTACAAAACCCTGTGATAGATGAAAAAGAACGTTCAATGTTCCCATAAATACGACATGTTTCATTAAATATGGCTTTGGCATACAGCGGTTCGTGATATAGGATCGTGTTTAGCCAGTGAAAGGAGACCTTTTCCCAACCATTTTAGCTTAAGTATACACGAGTATATAGCGTTAATCGAGCTATTACTAGTATCAAAGCTAGACTAAAATGATTTAAACATGTATTGTATCCATTGAGAGCTCAGACAACTATCTTTGCGATACATGTACTTAGCTCGTGCAAAACGTGGTAAAAAAGCGCGATATTGGCCTTGCTGCCTTCATATTTGAACACCTCTCGTATGCTTTGCTTCCAATGCTTCAACATTTGATAAATTATCTTTTATATAGGAAACGTAAGAATTTATGAAGATGTACACGGATCTAATAATATCATTTCTGTAAGTTAGTTAATCAAGTTTTTAAGTCATTGTTACTCTTCTTAAACAGTTTTATTTGAAGAAAGAATAATGTCTTATCACTGTTGTGTAGTAACTGGCCGTATCAAGAACAGGGTAAACTGAGAAACTTCGTAGAATGTGTTTAACTGATCGCTTTTAAAACAGAAAGTATGCATCACATGTTTTAACTTTAAAGTTTGTTTTTTTTAATTTCGGATAACTGGTAAAATCGTCAAATTTGAATGTCAATGAAAAACTTACATAGGTTATAAACATTGACACTTACCGCTGCTTTTAATTAACAAAACACATCAACTTTGTTTGTGGCAATTTTCGACATTGTGGATTCGAATTTTACACTGGACTTTGGATTCTATAAATTGTATAAAACTGTAAATATCCTGTCTGTAGTTTATTATTTATTATTAAAATTATTGTTTGAATAAAACAAAATCCTAACTATCTGAAAACATGTTTGTAAAGATATGTTTGTATATCGTTAAGAGCTAATGGCGTATGCACGAAATAATTGCTAGATGGTGTAAAACCAAGCTTAATATGGCAGCAAAGACCACTATATTACGTTGTTCCAGAACATGTTATACTGTTTACGTACAATTTTATGTGTGGTAAATGACAGTCGAAATCTTTGCTTGGTTTCTTTTTAGAACAGTCCATAAGATAATGGAAACGATATATATTCAAACAAATATAGATAAAAATATAAAGATATACATATATAAGTTGACTCTCAATAAGTGAAAATCGATTTACTCAAAATTCTGCCTTAGTCGAATAATTTCTAAAATCCCGTCAAATTTCCTTCTTTATCTTTGTATTTTAACTCCGCTTAGGTCAAATTTTGACTTACCGAGACTCCTGTTTAGTCGAAAAAAAATTGGTCCCTCAATTAAATTCCAACATATTTACATATCAATAAGTCGAAGTGTGAAAACAACCGACTGATCAAAGGTCGGCGACATCAAGGTGAGATGCTGTCACTCATGATTTACACGTTTCATAGTAATTTTCAAATGCCGGTCATCATGTATTATTGACACGTCGTAAAAGTGGCTTTAATCCGTTCCAGGACTTAATTGGTTTTAACAGTTAGATAACTAAATTAAAATTTAATTACATTTCTTAAAGAAAGTTGACTTGTGCCAGTCTGACGGGTGTTAGTCAAATAATATCCTAGGTATTGATGTGTGTTATGAACGTAAAGGACATTTGTTTAATAAATTATATGTCATATTTGTACTTCCGGTTCACGATAGTTGCTAATTTCGTTTTCGTCCGATGATGAAATAAATCAAATGTAATTGTGTGTTTCTGTTTCACTATTAATATATATGTATTAAATTTTGAATGATATATTTTTGTTCATTTATAATTTGTAGTTGTAAGTGATTTACCGTCATTTCAATGGTTAAATATTGCAGCATTTCCGCTAACAACAATAACAAACCTACTCCTTTGCACATTCAATCAGGCACATGTATATACATGTAATGGTGGTAGTTCCACGTTACTCGAATTCCGTTTCTCTCGAAGTGAAATGCCCAGTCCCTTGGATATCGAGTAACGAGAGTTATATAATTGAATTTGATGTAAATAACAAGTTGACTGAAGGAAAGCCAGTTGTTAAACACAAATTGCCGCTCCTGTCTATAATAATAGAACGTAAGTTGCAATGTGTCATTGTGACACATAATCAAACTATTCAATACAATATCATTCCGTAAATAGTTTTGACTAACCAAAAATGCAATACAATACCGGTATTTACGTGCATGTTTGCAATTGATCGCTTGACATAGTTATGCAAAGATTACGCTTAGACTGCATGCACAATCACATTAATTTTTTTTGTTGGACCGTTAACTGCACATTGATAACAGCGTATTTATATCTCAAGTTACATGCATGCTTATATAGAGAAAAAGTGAATTAAATATGCCGTTTGATTTTAGAGGAAAGAAAGTGCTGGTTACTGGAGCAGGAAAAGGAATAGGACGTGGAGTTGCTATTGCATTAAATAAATCTGGCTGCAAAGTATACGCTCTAAGTAGGACTAAACCTACACTTGATAGTCTAGTGGAAGAATGTCCGGACATTATACCGATTGTTGCTGACCTTTGTGACTGGGAGGATACGAGAGAAAAACTAGAAAAGATTGAGGTTTTGGACGGGCTTGTAAACAATGCTGGAATAGGAGGTCACGACTACGATGCTTTAAATTGCCCTAAAGAATACATAAACCATGTACTGGACAACAATTTACTTAGCGCAATAAATTGCTCACAGGTTGTTGCAAAGAAAATGATTGAAGCAAAGGTGAAAGGGTCGATCGTAAATTGTTCAAGCATTGTAAGCTTAGCTGCATTTCCAATGGGTCTTCCATATGCTGTTTCAAAAGCAGGTATGGATATGGTAACAAAGCAGTTCGCATTGGAACTCGGACCTCATGGAATACGGGTGAATTCAGTGAATCCTGGATTTGTTAATACGCCATTAGTGCAGAGCCTTATCGAAGAAGGGAAGGTTTCAGTTGATTTCTTTATATCTAGGTCGCCAATGGGAAGAATTCAGACTGTAGACGAAATTGTCGACCCGACTTTATACCTCCTTAGTGAACATTCAGCTATGGTCACAGGTCAGATGCATGTTGTCGATGGCGGTTGTCTATCTAATATTACTGTCAAAGTGTAAACAAATGGACTCTACATTGTGTTGAATAAGTATCACTGATGTTGAAATCTAGACTCTGTACCACATTTTACACAAAGTTGCTAGTATTATAATTTATATAAACAAAAATGACAAATGAATTATATGGGAAATATTTTTAATATGAAACATGTAAATTGAAATTGTAATGAAGGTATTTCGTATATTAATTATGTTCTTGAATGTATGTATATATTCGTAAATTCTGTCATAAAACTATGGAAATTAAAACTGGGTAACTTTTAAATGATAACGATGTAGAAAATATTCAATCAGTTATATTGACCTTTCTTTGTCATGTTATATCTTGTACACTGATATCGGCAAACATATATTAAACCTACTGAAGAAAAAATGTTCAGACATTTACCTTTGAGTACCATGTCCAATCTATTGCCGTTAATAATTACTTAAAACTTTTAATAATTATGAATACAACATCATATATGAAAGGGTTCTAAAATTTGATATTAAAATCTGAAAATATACTCCACTTTAGAATATGATGCAAGTTATTAATTTCTAACTGTATCACCCTGTTTCGATAAGAAACCAGTTCAGACTTTAGTTTTACTTATCGATCGCCACCTACTTAATTAAAGACAAGTTTATAGCTCGTCCGAATGTCTAAAATGAGCAAATATGTTCAGAACAGTTTTTGCATCTTAATATAAAACAGATAAAGGCTACTGCTTAAATAACAACTAGATCTATATCACTTAACGTGATTCATAACCTCCCCCACACCAGCAACTTTGCCATTTTGTAAAATAAGTGATTTGACTCACCTATATTTAATGATGTTTCATCTATGTACCAATAATTATTATTATTGCCTATCTTCTAGAAACCATTTTCCTTTTTATTTCCGGTAAAAACAAGCTTTCTTAATATCAAGTTTGATTTTAATATCTCAATCAATATCTTAATCTAATTATTATCTGAAAACTATTTTTCTATTTTTAGTAACAGTGACAATGACTCCAGGGGTTCTAATAACAATTCTAATCAGGGTTTTCACAAAAGTTTGCATTATACCAACTTTGATTATAATGACGTGTTTCTAACTCTTTTTATTCTCCGAAATAAAACGGTGACCTTGACCTGAATTCCATGGTGTTCAAATGCAATACCAACCGGGGTATTTATGTAGGCCTGCTATATAACAAGTTTGATTACAATACCTCTTCAAAACTCTATAGTTATTGTACGGAAACTTTTTTTTCTTTTAAGTGATGGTGACTTTGACCCCATGGTCAAATACAAAACCAACCGGTGTTTTCATATAAGCTTGCTATATACCAGGTTTTATTATAACATCTCATCCCTTACTCTGGTAATTATCTGAAAACCATTTTTCATTTTTTAGGAACAGTAACTTTGACCTTGAGCCCACTAGGTACAAAAGCAATACCAACCGGGCCCCGTGTTCACTAAGAAAAGATCAGGATCAGGGTCAAGTGGTCCTTTTTTTATTGCAATTGTATTATGTAATTAAAATTAATAGTGTTTTGTTGAATTAAATTGTAAATATTCAAAATGTAAAAAAATGCTGATTTGCAAAGAAACTATTTTGGGATAAAATCAACAAATAACAAAACAAATACAAAAATATTCGGATCAAAATAACCATGAATTTTATGATCAGGATCAATATTTTGATTAACTGTAAAATGCCCGTATCTTGCAAAAATAACAATAAATTTATTCTACAATTTAATAAACTTGCTATTTTAAGTCCAGTTTTATCAAATTAATATTAGATATTTAATCTATGAGGATAAACAATGAAGAATATTAGAGTTTTAAATGATCCTGATCTTGATCCTGATCCTTCAATCTTCGTGAACACGGGGCCGGGGCTTCAACATAAAGTTGCAATATGTATAGATCTTTTATAGTAGCAGTTTGACAATTGCAAAAGCTGACACATTCGCTTTAAGCATCGTGTTCCCATTTAGGTAAAAGTACGATGTTGACTTTATTTTAGTGAATGTATTTATGTTTGTATTTTTTCCTACTTAGACAGCTTTTCAATTTAATCTTTCAATATTCTGTCTTACAGTTCCTCGAGGTATTTATAAACATTGGTTGCAATTTTTTCATAGATTGATACCAACTTAATAAGTAAGATTTGCAGATCTGTTGTTCATATATATGTACGCGGTGTATATAATTTCAAGCTGTTCATCAAAATTATTAATATACCAGTTATAAGTGATGTTACATACCTAATATCTAAACTCTGGGCATAGTCAGTTCACACAATCAGTCTCAGGTGTGTTTTCCCTATATAAGTCAATATTATATCAAGTTACCTCTGACTGTGACCTTGACCTGATAAAGGTCAAACATGTGTTCTGCACATGTTTTCATAATGGCTAACATTTCTGCCAAGTAGTTTCAATCTCCTTCACCGGTTCAAAAGATACAGATCGGACACTACAACTGCGAACAGACGTACGGATGGACGACCACGACCAGGTGCATAATATTCTTATACGCCGAAATGTTTTCGGGCTTAAAGAATGGAGTATATTGAAACATTTAAAAGTTGGATTAAACGTCTCAAACTTTTGTAGAAAGTGATTTTTTCGAACCCTAGGAGAGATGTGGACGTTAACTTGCACTTTCCTCACAGTCCATGAACATGCTCAATAACCGAGCCTGCAACATTTTCAATAGTTTCGTTTTTGGCGTCCTTTAGGGATTCGTTTTTTTCTTTATTGAAATAAAAAATTGTGAAAAATGTGCTCTTTTGTTTAATTTATTGACCGTATTGTACTGCATTACATATTAAACAATTGACATGTTTTATATGAAAAATCTGACTTAATATTCATTATCTGTTTTTACAAATAGATTGTGTACGTTAACTATGTCAAACGGGCACCTTCTTAGCGACAGTATATTAAGTATCTCGGTGCGTTAAGAAGTATACTAATTTATGTGTAGTATTATACATGACTGTAAAGTAAATGGTATAATGTTTGAAAAAAAGTGTTTTTAAATTTTGTCTTATTTTATTCATATATTTAGTTATATACATGTACTGACATTTTTTCTGCAAATGTGACGATAATATATCTAATACATATAAAGTGTCGAGGAAAAGAGCTCCTGACAAGGTATCGTGGTATATATTATATGTTGCATGAATTGTAAAATCATTTACTGTAGGCTTATGTTTAAGTGCGTACGAGGGGTGTTCAGATATGTACGGTGTTCCGTTAGGACAATCGTGACTTTTTATTTAGTCTGTACCTGCGATGCACGATGGTACGATGGTGAAAACGCGATGGTACGATGATGAAAACGCGATGGTACGATGGTGAAATCGCGATGGCGCGATAGTACGAAGGTGAAAACGCGATGTTACATCGCGTTTTCACCATCGTACCATCGCATTTTCACCATCGCACCATCGTACTATCGCATTTTCACCATCGTGCCATCGTCTTCCGGTGGTCATGCGCAATGTTATATTTTTATCAACAATGTCTCTCATTATTGAACCCCGCACCCTTTCTATTTGTGTTTCTTTTAGATCTTAGTATTTGGAACATGAAATTAACAAAAGGCAATCACTCAAAAATTAAAAAAAAAAGTTTTCATCCTAGTGCACTGTACATATAAAGTTTCAAGTTGATATATTAAATAAAGCAAGAGAAAAATGTAAACATCTATAGATCATATATAACCATATATTAAATAGTCGTTGATCCATATACAGTATCACGACATAAATGGAAAATTTAATGTAAAGATAACAGGTTTTATTATTTATAACTCAAATTAAATATTAAGTATTCTAAACATGTTTTTATTATCTACCTTAACAGAATCTGACATCTTTCTGTTTGTGTACTAATAATACTGACCGAAAGGCAATGGTACGATGGCACGATGGTGAAAACGCGATGGTACGATGGTGAAAACGAGATTGCACGATAGTGAAAACGCGCTGGCATGATGATGAAAACGCGATGGCACGATGGTAAAAGCGCGATGGCACGATGGTGAAAACGTGATGGTACGATGGTGAAAGCACGATGGTTCGATGGTGAAAACGCGATGGTACGATGGTGAAAGCGCGATAGTACGTTGCTGAAAACGCGATTGCACGATGGTGAAAACCTGATGGTACGATGGTAAAAACACGATGGTGCGATAGTGCGATGGTACGGTGGTGAAAACGCGATGGTACGATGGTGAAATCACGATGGTTCGATGGTGAAAACGCGATGTAACATCGCGCTTTCACCATCGTTCTATCGCGCCATCGCGATTTCACCATCGTACCATCGCGTTATCATCATCGTACCATTGTGTTTTCACCATCGTACCATCTTGCCATCGCGTTTTTACCATCGTACCATCGTGCATCGCTGTAACAGACTCAATTAAAATTCACGACTGTCCAAACGGAACACCTTAGATATGAATGCAACTGGGTCAAAATAATTATCTCTATCCTTCAAAATACTCAAAACCATGTAATATAACAAGTTTGAAAAATTCTGTTTTATATAGACAACGTCATAATTTTTATTAAAATGTTCGTTGTACACGGAAATCTACTGATTAACTCTCAGTTGCGATGTTGTAATATCATTTCTGTAAGTTCGTTAATCAATATTTTAAGACATTGCTACACCTCCAAAACACACGAGTTTCCTTTGTATAACGAGGAATGTCTAATTACTGTTGTGTAGAAACTGGCCGTATCAAGAACATGATAGATATAAGAACCTTCGTAGAATGTGCTTCACTGATCCCTTTTAAAACAGTAAGTATTATCATGTGTTAAAAACTTATAACTTGTGAGTATTTTGTCTTCTTTCAGATAACTGGTAAAATCGTCACATTGAGTTTCAATGTTAAACTTTTATAGGTTTGAGGCATGGACATATGCATACATAATGCATACAATTAACAAAACACTTCACCTTTGATTGTGGCATAGTGATTGTGATATATCACTATCTGAATTATGAGGCAGGTTTGTTTTAGGTATCTCCATTCGTTTGCGGCTTTTATGGTCATTTTACATTTTCAACATTGTGGATTCGAATCTTAATTACAAGGGACTAGTGTTTAAAGCTGTAAATCTCCGGTCTGTAGTTTACTAAATTATTGTTTGAATAAAACAAAATCGAAACTATCTGTAAACAATGTTTGTAAAGACACGTTTATATATCTTGAAAGCTAATGGCGTATGCACGAAATAATTGCTTGATGGTGAAATGTTCAGCTCAAAATGGTAGCAAGAAACTATTAAATTATTAAGGAACATGTTATTCTATTTACGTACAATATCTATGTGAGGCATTCTTTTGTTGTTTTTTTTTTCGAACTGTATTGGGTGCCATAAAGACTCGAAAGGTTACGGGATATTAAGAGTAATAACAAACTATATCTAAAGGAAAGTGAAAGTAAAACCATTTAGCCGGACATATTGAAACTGTTATGTACGGTATTCCATATACGACAGTGCCATTCTTACCGCATACTACCTAGTACCAACTACCAACTGCCTACGGCATCTTTCAAACTACCCATTGCCTATGTGTCTTGCTTAATGTCCAAAACTAAAAGTCCATGCCCAGGTGGCAGTATAACTGGTTACCGCTTAATGCCCTGTGGCCGCCGTACACATCGATCGCCAATGCTGTAGTGAAGTTAAAGTTTCGAAATCGAGCATGTTTTACATGTTATTCGGTCCAGAAGTAGTTAAAAAAGAAGAAAAGGCCAGCTATAAAGATCGATCCTTCATTAAAACAAGGTCTTTATATAGTCGCAGCGTAAACAGTATTTTCTTAAGAGATAATGGCGTATGTACAAACTAATTGCTAGATGTTAAACAATCCAGGTTAACATTGAAGCATATTACTTTGATTAGATTTCATTCTGCTTATTTACAATATACATGTGAGGCATTCTTGTTACAACTTTTTTTTTCGAATTGACAATAACATAATTAAAACGACATAATTTAATACGAAATATGACATATGAGATTGCTATACACGCTTTGATGTGATGTAGATATTTAGATAGCCAAAGGAACGTTCATTGTTCTTCTTCTCAAATTTCCATTCTTACATAAAATAATCAAAGGAGAGGTACCAGAAAAGCTTAAAGTAAGTTCAATATGACGTTGACAGTGCCAATGAATTAAATGAATTATAATCAAACCAATCAATAAATTATCATCCTCAAATATACATGTAGTATGAACAGAACAAATGATACAGTCGATGTCTGACCTAGTTATTTAGTTATTTTGACATCTGCATTTGAAAAGATAAAGGTTAGACTGCATGCACAGTCACATCATATGGTGATTTTGTTGCACATCTATAACGGCCTATTTTTCATTCGTAAACAAAAAGAAAGAGAGGGAGAGAATCAAATATGCCGTTCGATTTTAAAGGAAAAAAAGTACTGGTTACCGGAGCAGGAAAAGGGATAGGACGTGGAGTTGCTATTGCATAAAAAAGGCTGGCTGCAAAGTGTATGCTCTTAGTAGGACTAAATCCACATTGGATAGTTTAGTGGAAGAATGTCTGGACATTATACCTATTGTTGCTGACCTTTGTGACTGGGACGGGACGAGAGAAAAACTAGAACAGCTTGAAGTTTTGTATAAGCTGGCAAATATTGCTGGTATAGCAGGTCATGGTCATGACTACGCTGCTGTAAATTGCCCTAAAGAATACATAAACCATTTACTGGACAACAATCTTCTGAGTGCAATAAATTGCTCGCAGGTTGTTGCTAAGAAAATGATTGAAGCTGGTGTGAAAGGATCGATCGTAAATAGTTCAAGCATTTCTGGCATGTCTGGTTTCCCAATGTGTCTTCCATATGCTGTTTCAAAAGCTGGTATGGATATGGTTACAAAACAGTTCGCACTGGAACTAGGACCTCATGAAATCAGAGTGAACTCAGTGAATCTCGGTCTTGTCAACACGCCATTAGTACAGAGCCTTATCGAAAAAGGGAAATATACAGTGGATACCTTTACATCCAGGTCGCCAATTGGAAGAATTTCGACAGTAGAAGAAATTGTTGTCCCGATTTTATACCTCCTCAGTTCACATTCATCTATGGTCACAAGTCAGATGCATGTTGTAGATGGCGGTTGTCTGTCTAATATTACTGTCAAAGTGTAAACAAATGGTTTATACATGTTCTGAATAAGTAACACTGATGATGAAATCTAGACTCTGTACCACATTTTTCACAAAATTACTAGTATTATGATTTATATGAACAAAAATGACAAATGAATAATATGGGAAATATTTTTAATATGAAACATGTAAATTGAAATTGTAATGAAGGTATTTCGCACATTAATTATTTTCTTGAACGTATGTCTATATTCGTAAATTGTGACATAAAACTATGGAAATTAAAACTGGTTATTTTTAAAATGATAACGATAAAGAAAATATTCAATCAGTTATATTAACCTTTCTTTGTCATGTTATATCTTGTACACTGATATTGGCAAACTTATATTAAACCTACTAAAAAAATTGTTCAGACATTTACCTTTGAGTAAAATGTCTAATCTATTGCTGTTAATAATTACTTCAAACTTGTAATAATTATGAAAACAACATCATATATGAAAGGGTTCTAAACTCTGATATTAAAATCTGAAAATATCCTCCACTTTAAAATTCGATGCAAGTTATTAATTTCTTACTGTATCACCCTGTTCCGATAAGAAACCAGAGCAGACCTTAGTTTTACTAATCTCCATCTACCTAACTACAGACATGTTTATAGCTCGTCCAAATCTCTAGAAAGAGCAAATATGTTCAGAACAGTTGCATCTTAAAATAAAGCTAATAAAGACTGCTGCTTAAATAACAACTAGATCTATATCACTTAACGTGATTCATATACCCTCCCCAACACCAGCAACTTTGACTTTTTGTGAAATAAGTGATTTGACTCACCTTAATTTAATGATGTTTCATCTATGAAAATAATTATTACTATTGATTGCCTATCTTCTAGAAACCATTTTCTTTTTTATTTCCAGTACAAAAACAATCTTGCTAAATAATAAGTTTGATTATAATATTTCAATCAATATCTAAATCTAATTAGAATCTGGAAATTATTTTTCTATTTTCAGTTACAGTGACAATGACTCCAGGGGTTCCAATAACAATTTTAACCAGGGTTTTCACACAAGTTTGCAATATACCAAGTTTGCTTATAATAACTTGTAATTGTCCAAAAATAAAACGGTGACCTTGACTTTTATTCCATGGTGTCCAAATGCAATACCAACCGGGGTATTCATATAGGCCTGCTTTATAACAAGTATTATTACAATACCTCTTTCTAACTCTAGTTATTGTATGGAAACCATTTTTTTTCTCTTTTAAGTGACAGTGACTTTGACCCCAGGGTCAAATGCAAAACCAACCGGTGTTTTCATATAAGCTTGCAATATACCCGGTTTTATTGTAACATCTCATCCCTTACTCTAGTATTTATATGAAAACCATTTTTCAATTTTTAGTAACAGTTACTTTGACATTGAGTCCATTATGTACAAAACCAACCGGGGCTTGCATATAAAGTTGCTATATGTTTAGATCATTTCAATAACAGTTAAACAATTGCAAAAGCTGACACATTCGCTTTAGTATCGTGTTCCCATTCAGATAAAGGTACGGTGTTGACTTTATTTTAGTGAATGTATTTATGTTTGTATTTTTTCTTACTAAGACGGCTTTTCAATTTAATCTTTCAATATCCTGAATTGTCTAACAAATCCGTGAGGTATTCATAAACATTAGTTGCAATTTTTTCAGAGATTGATACCAACTTAATAAGTAAGATTTGCAGATCTGTTGTTCACCTATATAATTTCAAGCTGTTCATCGAAATGCAGACAGGTGACACGATTTTTACATTTTTTAACATCTTTTAATACAAATTTGTTGACGGTTTTCATAGATTGTTATTCCAAGGGGCATGATTAATATACGAGTTATTTTGTGGTCGAAAAATTGATGTTACATACCTAATATCTAAGCTCTGTAAGTTCACGCAATCAGTCTCAGATGAGCTTTCCCTATATAAGTCTATATACATCAAGTTACCCCTGACTGTGACCTTGACCTGCGAAAGGTCAAACATGTTTTCATAATAGCTAACTACTGCCAAGTAGTTTCAATATCTTTCACCGGTTCAAAAGATACCGATCGGACACTAAAACTGCTAACAGACGCCGGATAGACGACCACGACCAGGTGCATAATTTTATATGTCGAATGTTTTCGGGCGTAAAGAAAGGACTACAGTAAAACATTTAGAGATTGGATTCAACGTCTCAAACTTTTTAGGAAGTAATAATTTCGAACCCTGTGGTAGGGATGTGGTGGTAACTTTCACTTTCCTTACAGTACTATAGTACATGAACAGTCTTAATCAACCCGAGCATGCAACATTTCCAATAGTTTCGTTTATGGCGTCCTTTAAGGATTCCGTTTTTCTTTATTGAAATAAAAAATTGTAAAAAATTTGCTCTTTTGTTTAATTTATTGACCGTATTGTATTGCATTACATATTGAACCAGCATAATAACAATCAGCACTTTGTGCCCAGGCAAGCTAAGTTATGATAATAATTACAGAAACAAAATTTACAAATATATCCACAAAATAAGATACGTGTACATTGGAACCAACCACACCCTTGGGGTTGATTGGGTGCCTTAGTGGAGCCATAAATATTGAAGCCACCGTTTTATCCCTGCGTGATCCTTAGAGGCAACTTAATCGGTTAAATAACTGGTGTCTATGCATCTCTCCGCTCCAGCAGGTGAGGTGTTTTAACCCCTGATGTTGCTTTGACATTTGTAACAACAGAGGTAAGCCAAAATTATCTTTTCTGTTTTGGCGCCATATGACTTAGATATTGTGTTAGTGTGTCGTAACAAACCAACAAACAAACGTTTGCAGCGTAAATCTAATCGAACTGAAGGCGTCATTTTTGTATCCAGTCTGATTTAATACATGTATAATTGTATATCTACGACATTGTCTTATCTAGAATTTTTTTCTTCTTCTAAATTCAATCGTTTTTTTTTTTCAATTTCGTTACTACCTTTTTCAATATGCAAGATAAGTTTCCGCCGATCAATGTACAATTTACATGTTTTATATGAATAATCTGTTTTAATATTCACTATCTTTTTTTACAAATGGATTGTGTACGTTAACTATGTCAAACGGGCACCTTCTTAGCGACAGTATATCAAGTATCTCGGTGCGTTAAGAAGTATAGTAATTTATGTGTAGTATAATACATGACTGTGAAGTACATGAAAGAAATCTGTTGTATAATGTTTGAAAAAAGTGTTTTTAAATTTTGTCTTATTTTATTCATATATTTGGCTATATACATGTACTGAAACTTTTTCTGCAAATATGATGATAATATATCTAATACATATAAAGTGTCGAGGAAAAGAGCTCCTGACAAGGTATCGTGGTATAAATTATATGTTGCATGAATTGTTTAATCATTTACTGTAGGCTTATGTTTAAGTGCGTACGAAGGGTGTTCAGATATGAATGCAACTGGATCAAAATAACTTTCTCAATCCTTCAAAATACTCACCACCATGTGATATAACAAGTTTGAAAAATTCTCTTTTATATAGACAACGTAATAATTTTTATTAAAATGTTCATTGTACACGGAAATCTACTGATTATCTCTCAGTTGCGATGTTATACTATCATTTCTGTTCGTTAATCAATATTTTAGGTCATTACTACTCCTCTTAAACATACGAGTTTCCTTTGAATAAAGTGGAATGTCTAATTACTGTTGTGTAGGATATAAGAACCTTCGTAGAATGTGATTCACTGATCCCTTTTAAAACAGTAAGAAGTATCATGTGTTATAAACTTATGAGTATTTTTTCTAATTCTGGATAACTGGTAAAATCGTCACATTTGAGTTTCAATGTTAAACTTTCATAGGTTAGAGACATGGACATGTGCATACATTATGCATACACTTAACAAAACACTTCACCTATGATTGTGGCATAGTGATTGTGATATATCGATATCTGAATCATAAGACATGTTTTAAAAGCTGTAAATCTCCTGTCTGTAGTTTACTAAATTATTGTTTGATTAAAACAAAATCGAAACTATCTGTAAATTTTTTTTTTGTAAAGACACGTTTGTATATTTTTAAAGCTAATGGCGTATGCACGAAATAATTGCTTGATGGTGAAATATCCAGCTTAAAATGGCAGCAAAGGAGCTATTACATTGCTTCGGAAAATGTTATTCTTTTTACGTATAATATTTATGTGTGCATTCTTTAGGGTTTTTTTTCGAACTGTATTGGGTGCCATAAAGACTCGAGAGGTTACGGGCTATTGAAGGGTAATAACAAACTATATCTAAAGGCAAGTGAAAGTAAAAAAAAATCTGTAAACAAAGTGATCCCTCGGAAACATCAATCACAACAAAATTACAAGACAAGTGCAGACTCGGTTTGAGTGAGTCTGTACATAAGGGATAAGGAATACGTGCAACATCCCTCACGCCCCCTAGCACCGGCTGATCGGTACTCAATTCTTAACACAATAGTGCTGGCATCCATGATCCCGAAGGAACAGAAAAATATAAAACCATTTAGCCAAAGTACATATTGAAACTGATATGTACGGAATTCCATATACGACAGCACCATACTTATCGCGTACTGCCTAGTACCAACTGCCAACTGTCTACGGCATCTTTCAAACTACCCATTGCCTAAATAATATGTCTTTCTTAATGTCCAAAACTAAAACTTCATGCCAAGGTGGCAGTATTACTGGTTACAGCTTAAGCCCCTGTGACCGTCGTACACATCGATCGCCAATACTGTAGTGAAGTTAAAGTTTCGAAATCGAGCATGTTTTACATGTTATCCGGTCCAGAAGTAGTTAAAAAACAAGAAGAAAATTTCAGCTATAAAGATCGATCCTTCATTAAAACCAAGTCTTTAGGGGGCAGGGGACATATTCGAATTATGGCCCCGGTCAAATTTTTTAATAGCGAGCTCGACAAGCTGGCCCGAAGGGCCTGCTCGCAAAGCGAGCTTTACGGTAACGCGAGTACCTGCTAGGTGATGGTTTTGAGAACTTTCGTCCGAAGTACCGAACTGGACACATCGCAACTTTTCGAATTACAAGATAACGATAAAAGCCGATGTACTCTGATTGAAAACGGAAGGGTAGACTGGTGTCCTGCACACTTATATGGGAACCATAATAGAAAGGGGGACCAGAATAAACGAAAGCAGTGTATAAAATACCGAATGACAATTTTAAAACGGAAAATGTAAAATAAAAATGAATGATTATTTTAAACTATTTTACGGTATAAGAAAATCGAGCTCGCTTTGAGGCGGCTTTGCCTTTTTCATATTAGCGAGCTCGACGAGCTGGCCCGAAGGGCCTGCTCGCAAAGCGAGCTTTACGGTAACGCGAGTACCTGCTAAGTGATGGTTTTGAAAACTTTCGTCCGAATGCCGAATTGAACACATCGCAACTTTTCGAATTACAAGTTAAGGATAAAAGCCGATGTACTCTGATTGAAAACGGAAGCGAACACTGGTGTCCTGCGCACTTTTAAAGGAACCATAATAGAAAGGAGGAACCAGAATAAACGGAAGCAGTGTATAAAATACCGAATGACAATTTTAAAAACGGAAAATGTAAAATAAAAATGAATGATTATTTTAAACTATTTTACGGTAAACGAAAATCGAGCTCGCTTTGAGGCTTTGCCTTTTTCATATTAACTCAGACATGAAGTTTTGAAGGTACTGGAACCTACTGATATTTCTCTGTCATTGTTATTCTTTCTTGTTTGTGTGTAGGAAATGAGCAGTATTTTGGGGTTTTTACCCGAAACTAAGCATTTTGGTAGCTTTGTATGTATTTGTGACTCTCCGAACGAATGGAGGTGAAAAGGTTAAAAATCAAGCTTTGACAGTTAGCGCCAAACAAGTAAGAAATTTCGGATAAATTTTGTGCAAAAATCTAAACGTATGACAGACACTTTATTGGTCATTTTTGAAAATGTCATAGCTTGCACTGCGTGTTAGTGATATTTCTAAAGGAATCGGGCGGATTCTGGAGTATGCTGCACCTTCATGAAGATTGCCCATATTGGTATATTTAGGTGTGATTTTGGCAGGGCCGGGGCACAGGGGATTCTGTCATATTTTTTTTCCTTTCCCACTATATATATAATATAACATTATATATATAGATTTAATAAAATAATGACAGATTTCCCTGTGGGTGGGGGTAAATATAAATTGCTGTCAGTCATTTCTTTAAGGGGCAATGCATGCAAACTATTATTTTCTTCAATGTATGTCATATATCATTGAATAATGCTGTGCAACTGGTTATCTGCCTGTGAAACAGATTTTGAAATATTTGGATTTGTGTTTCTGGCCACACTGAAATACAAAACAGTTCGTTTTTAGGTCCCCTGCCCCCTTATATAGTCGCAGCGAAAACAGTATTTTCTTAAGAGATAATGGCGTATGTACGAACTAATTTCTAGATGTTAAACAATCCAGGTTAACATTGCAGCATATTACTTTGATTAGAAAATTTTTTCTGCTTATGTACACTATTCATGGGCATTCCTTGTGACAATTTTTTTCCGAATAGACAATAAGATAATTGAAACGACATACTTTGATACGAAATTGCTAAACACGCTTTGATGTGATGTAGATATTTAGATAGCCAACGGAACGTTGGTTGTTCTTCTCAAATTTCCATTCTTGCTTAAAATAATCAAAGGAGAGGTACGAGAAAACCTTAAAGTAAGTTGCAATATGACGTTGACAGTGCCAATGAATTATAATCAAACTAATCAATAAATTATCATCCTCAAATATACATGTAGTATGAACAGAACAAATGATACAGTCGATGTCTGACCTAGTTATTTAGTTATTTTGACATCTGCATTTGAAAAGATAATGGTTAGACTGCATGCACAGTCACATTATATGGTGATTTTGTTGCACATATATAACGGCGTCTTTTTCATTCGTAAACAGAAAGAGAAACAGAGAGAGAGAGAATCAAATATGCCGTTCGATTTTAAAGGAAAGAAAGTACTGGTTACCGGAGCAGGAAAAGGGATAGGACGTGGAGTTGCTATCGCATTAAAAAAGGCTGGCTGCAAAGTGTATGCTCTTAGTAGGACTAAATCTACATTGGATAGTCTAGTGGAAGAATGTCCTGATATTATACAGATTGTTGCTGACCTGAGTGACTGGGAGGGTACGAGAGAAAAACTAGAACAGCTGGAAGTTTTGGACGGGCTTGCAAATATTGCTGGTATAGCAGGTCATGACTACGCTGCTGTTAATTGCCCTAAAGAATACATAAACCATTTACTGGACAACAATCTTCTGAGTGCAATAAATTGCTCGCAGGTTGTTGCTAAGAAAATGATTGAAGCTGGTGTGAAAGGATCGATCGTAAATTGTTCAAGCATTTCTGGCATGGCTGCTTTCCCAATGTGTCTTCCATATGCTGTTTCAAAAGCTGGTATGGATATGGTAACAAAACAGTTCGCACTGGAGCTAGGGCCTCACAAAATACGAGTAAATTCAGTGGATCCCGGTCTTGTCAACACGCCATTGGTACAGAGCCTTATCGAAAAAGGAAGATGTTCAGTGGAAACCTTTTCATCAAGGTCGCCGATGGGAAGAATTCCGACAGTAGAAGAAATTGTTGGCCCGATTTTATACCTCCTTAGTGAACATTCAACTATGGTCACAGGTCAGATGCATGTTGTAGATGGCGGTTGTCTATCTAATATTACAGTCAAAGTGTAAAAAAAGGAGTGTACATGCGTATGCTGAGGAAGTATCACTGCAGTTGGAGTCTTAAGAAATCAAGCTTCTTCGCTGCCTTTTACATAAAGTTAATAGTATAAGGATTTATAAAAACCAAATTGCCAAATGAACACTGTGGTTACTATTTTTAACATGATAGATCTAGATGTAAAATGAATTTTATAACGGTATTTTGCTCTTTTATTACTAGTATTTCATTTTCTTGAATGTATAGACTTAAGAATACAATATGGAGATTTTTATATTATGTGTTTCACTTGCAATTCGATGCAATAGTTTACCATTTTGGAATATATATATGCAACTGATTTTTGTTATTTTTTCCAGTATAAAACTATTCAAATGTGATGTCCCCCGAGACAGCTTTTGTTATAACTGCATTTACCATTGCTATAAAATAGTATGAATCATCTCAATTCCGACCTTGATAACATTAATACACACCACCTCATTTCCGTTATTAGGGTAATCGTATGACATAGTAATAAAAATAAAGTTTCCTTTTAAAAGGAAAGGCTTGCACAGTTGTGCCTTCATCCCAACCCTTTAAAATTGTTCTTTTTTGGGGGGGGGGTCAATTTATTATCACATTATTTTTTTTTGAATTACGGTATTTGTATATCATAAAGGGTTTATTTAGTTGTTTTTTTTGTTTTTTTTTTTTTTTTTTTTTTTTGGAAAACCGAATATTTTTTTGTCAAAACGATTTAGATCTATTCTCTATTGTATAAAACTAATAAAGAAAATGATCAATCGTAAAAATATTAACGTGATACTGAAGGAAAACAAGTGTGCACATCTCATTTCCCCTTTTTCGCAGCGAAATCATTCCTTTGCTTTTTAGACAAGTAGATGCACTAAAATACTTCGTTACGTGGTACCAATTAATAAGCATTTATCAACTATGATACATAGATCAGCACATGGCAAGGCTAATGATATGCATGGGCTATTTTTAGATTACCTCACCAAGAAGTTGAATTGCGGTCAGTAGATCTAAATATAACTCGATCATGCGTGATTTGGTAAGCAGGACCACCCTTTGAAGACGGAATAATACTACAGTCACCATTCTCTATTGTATAAAACTAATACAGACAAAAAAAACAATTATAAAAGAAACTAACTTTTGCGTCTTGAAAAACAAATGAAACGGAACAAGATAAATCAAGTAAAATTAGAAATCCTATTTATATACACAAACTGGGATTACCGAAGTAACTAAAATAGCTTAGATTTCCGTAATATTATTCCGCAGTATGACGGAATCGCCCGAATTGTCACGATTGCAATCGGAACTACATCGGCTATTATCATTAATCCGAAGACTGACGGAAAAGGCCGAAAAGTTGCGATTGGCACGATCGCAGCTGGTTTCCCGTTCAATCATGCACCAACAGATGTAAGCAGGAAACCACCTTACCGGAACAAGTTTTCCAGATGAAATGGCTTGCAGCCGTGGCTGCAAGCCAATAAACTACTTGTGCAGGATATCTTTAAAAAGATAACGATAAAGACAATGTTCAGTCACTTATACGGATGTTACTATTTGTACATTGATATCGGCGGACACATAAGAATATTGATATAACATAAGAAAAAATGTTCAGCTCATTACCTGAAAGTACCATGTCCAATATTTTGCCTTTCTAAATAATGTATTGTAACTACTTGAAAGTTTGGATAATTATGAATATTACATCTTATATATAACAAGGTTAATAACTCTGATATCTAAATTTAGATTTCGATAGAATTTGGTAATATCTAATTATATCTTGAAATCAGTACAGACTCTAGTTTTATTTATCACCGCCTATTTAATAAATGACAAGGTTTATAGCTCAGACCCCCGAATATCATAAATAACCTCCGTCATTCTTTTAAAATCTTCACCTACTCTGATGACTTTAAGACGACTGTTCCATCACAACATTTCTACCGATCCATAATTGATGCAATAGTTGGACATTTCAGAATAGTTTTCATATTTATAAAGAAAACTATACATAATGATATTTCAAGTATTTTATTAGTCAAGTGTTTTCTTTTGCTCTTGGTTTCAGAGCATTCATTTAATTAAGCTCTATTGCGATACAAGTTCTTGGAACTTAAAGTTACCACTTTCGAGTCTGCTTCTTGGAACGAACCAGTGCTGGTGTCACATGAAGAAACATGGTCGTGACACGAATAGGGCTCAAATACGTGACCCACGGGTTGAGAGGCAGACACCTTAACCACTAGGCCACTGCTTCTCATTCTTTTGCTCTTGTTCGAAACTGCATCACGGCTAGGAAAAGTTATCATTGTGTCATAGCATACAGTTTTGAAATGGGTAACGAAAGCGCAATGTGGTGTTGAAAACATTTCTATATAATCCAAAGATATAGCTGATAAGCTGTTGCTTTAATGTTTCTTGCATAGGCTAGTCAGTACATATACAATGTATATAAAATATAAATATACATGTATGTATATATTTTGCGAATATTCACACACATGCATAGATGGAATAAAAATTAATTAATTCATGTGAATTATATAATAAACATGGGTACATTTGTGGGTAAAGTAAAAATATATCCCTCGTATAAATACTGTTTACGCCCACAAACATGTTTTATTTATTTTATTACCGGACAATACTGTTATCTGAATTTTTAAATAAATCCCAAATGTAACAAAAATAAACCAAAGGAATAACTATTTTTATAAAAACCTTCCCTTCCTTGAAAATTTTAATGACTGTAGGGGTTTAGAGAAGGGTGTTTTTTTTATTCTTTAGGGAAAAAAGTGATATATCTACCATCATAAAATAAAAAGCGATTTTTTAGAAAACAAAAAAACCATTTAAGGTTATATCTGTGAAATTGATCTCCTGACCAGAATATTCTTTTGCATGGTTTTTGGGAAAAGTTTCATTTAAAAAATAACGATGAATCCTAGATGTTGTCCAAATTATCTGAAGTTTACTTTTAAAAATTTTTAAAAAATCCCTTTGTTGCTGTTTAATCGTTGCTGTTTTTGTTTGACAAAAATTTTACATTACAAATTACGTACTTCCGTTGAAAACGGTTGTTTATTTTTTGACTATTCAACAAAAAGATATTTTATACGCGAAAAGAACTCGATCTAGGGTGCAAAGGACTAACTTTTATGAGAGTCGATGCCCTATCGTCGAAAATAAGAAAGAATAGAGAAAAAAATGACGGCCATTTTATTTCATTTTATTTAGTGACCAGATTTTATACTGTTAAAAAATACTGTTCCTATGTAACAGTACAAAATTCTTAGTCACGTTGTACACTTGCATTAACAGTAAGAATAACTCCCAGAGGCCTATGGGAAATTAACATTACGAAAAAAGTGAGGGGGTAATAAAATATTTTCTGTGAATATGTTACAGTATTCTTAGCATTCTCAAACCAGTTAAAAAAATCAAAATAACATCTAGGCCTACAAAACACACTTAACTACCTGGAGAAAATACTGGTGGGTGTTTTAAATTTTCATGACTCCGACCTGGGACAAAATAATCGTCCCAGATCTGACGCCATTTTGTCAAATTTGCACACAACAAGTTCAGGTCCTGTCCTTGCCCGGTATTGTCTTTCAAATGAAGACATGTATCGCTATCGGAAAACTAAATCTGACTCTGCACCATCCCAAATTAAGGTGCTAGTGGCAATGATTTGACCTAAAATGTGTTTAACCTTGTTATTTATGCAATAATATATCCATTTATTTAAAAAAAATACTGTTATTTTGTTATACAATGTAACAGTATTTTTTTTTAATATTGCACTCTCCATAGTAATTTTCTGTATTGTAATTTTCTGTATATTTGTCAAAAATAATCGTCATACACTCAAAATATTCTTACATGAAAGCATTCGTTAAATATATTTGGTAGAATACTATGGTACCTTTATCAGACCAAACCAGGAAAGTTTCAAGATTCAAGATTTCAAGATTTATTCAAAACCAAGGCATATAATATGCATAAGGTTATGATAAATGCCAGATAAAATCTAGCAGATAGCTGCGTAAACCCTAAATATGTTTAAATGCCTTAAAATTTTCAGTACTATCTTTAATATATTATATTACTATATTACTATAGAAAAATGTCTGCCATCTTGGATTTTTCGGCCATATTTTTTTTAATTCTGTTTGTGTGTCCAATTTGTTTTTACCTAAACATGCTTTGTGACTTTTCCTTTCCTTAAATTTTTTATTTGATATATCATCCATTTATGATAAAGAAATTTGGCGGCCATTTTAGTGGTCATTTTAAATGGCCATTTCAATGGTCAAGATCAAGTTTTTCAATTTGGTATCCACCTTTATCGGATTCAGCATACCTTAAATAGGTAAAATATACCAAGATACCACTTGTACTACAAAATGCCTCTAGCATCTTATAGGGAGCCAAGTTCTCAAAATCAGTCCTGAATATATGTCAAATGGGCAACATCATAACGACGGTATATTTAAGTATTTAGGTATGTTAAGAGGTATGCTAAATTATGTATATTATAATACATGACTGTAAAGTAAATGAAAGAAATCTGTTGCAACCTAATTGTATTATGTTTGAAAAAAAGTGGTTTTAAATTTTGTCATAATTATTTTTAATTTATGTTATTTATATATTTGGTTGTATACATGTATTGAAGCATATTCTGCAAATGTGCCGATAACATATCTAATACATATAAAGTCAAGGAAAAGGGGTGACTACGGGTGTTCAAATATGAATGCAGCTGAGTCAAAATAATTATCTCAATCCTTCAAAATACTCATCACCATGTGATATAACAAGTTTGACAAATTCTCTTTTATATAGACAATGTAAATTTTTTTACTAAGATGTACATTGTACACAAAACTTCTTTATTATCCCTCAGTTAGATTAATAAAATTTTTTTTAAATTTGGGTTTTAAAATTTAAAGTTTGCTCATTTAAAAATACAGTTTCCCTTTTAAGAAAAAGGATGTCTAATCCTTGTTTTGTAATGGGCCCTAAGAACAGGAAAAAAATAAGAAGTTTTTGTAAATGTGCTTCACTGATCCCTTTTAAAACAGTAGAATTATCATTGTATTATAACTTATAAGGTTGAGTTTTTGTCTTTTTTAGATAATATGGTTAAAAGAACACAAAAAATTGGGAGTTCAATGTTAACTTTTATAGGTTTGAGGATGGACATAGCATACATAATGCATAAATTAAAAAACACTTCACCTTTGATTGTGGATAGTGATTGTGATATTATATCTGAATTATGAGGCAGGGTTTGTTTTAGGTTCTCCATTTCGTTTTGGGGGCTTTTATGGGTTTTTTACATTTTCAACATTGTTTGGTCGAATTTAAATTACAAGGGATGTGTTTAAAGCTGTAAATCTGGTCTGTAGTTTCTAAAATTTTTGTTTGAAAGTAAACAAAATGAAAATATATGACACATTTGTATATATTTAAAGCCTAATGGCGTATGCACGAAATAATTGCTTGATGGTGAAATGTTCAGCTTAAAATGGTAGCAAGAAACTATTAAATTATTCAGGAACATGTTATTCTGTTTACGTACAATATTTATGTGTGGCAAATGACTGAGGCATTCTTTTGGGATTATTTTCGAACTGTAGTGGGTGTCAAAAAGACTCGAGAGGTTACGGGCTATTTAAAGTTAATAACAAACTATATCTAAAGGCAAGTGAAAGTAAAACCATTCAGCCAACGTACATATTAAAACTGTTACGTACGGAATTCCATATACGACAGCACCATAATTATCGCGTACTAGCAACTGCCTACGGCATCTTTCAAACTACCCATTGCCTAATGTGTCTTGCCTAATGTTCAAAACTAAAACTCCATACCCAGGTGGCAGTATTACTGGTTACAGCTTAAGCCCCTGTGACCGTCGTACACATCGAACGCCAATCGAGCATGTTTTACATGTTATTCGGTCCAGAAGTTGTTAAAAAAGAGAGAAGAAAATGTCAGCTATAAAGATCGATCCTTCATTAAAACCAGGTCTTTATATAGTCGCAGCAAAAACAGTATTTTCTGAAGAGATAATGGCATATTTACGAACTAATTGCTAGATGTTAAACAATCCAGGTTAACATTGCCGCATATTTCCTTGAATAGAAAATCTTATTCTGCTTATGTACAATATTCATGGACATTCTTTGTTACAACTTTTTTTTCGAACAGACAATAAGATAATTGAAACGACATAATTTAATACGAAATATGACATATGAGATTGCTAAATACGCTTTGATGTGATGTAGATATTTAGATAGCAAAAGGAACGATGGTTGTTCTTCTCAAATTTTCATTCTTGCCTAAAATTATCAAAGAAGAGGTACCAGAAAAGCTTAAAGTAAGTTGCAATATGACGTTGACAGTGCCAATGTGGCATATAATCAAACCAATCAATAAATTATCATCCTCAAATATAGTATGAACAGAACAAATTTTCTTGCATATCAGACTGGCGTTTCCGTTAGTTTTACCCATGCCGGAAATTTCATCTGGCATGGGGGGGTTCCAGATGAGTCGCGTGCTGTACAATGGCACGATAAACATGACGTCATTTTACCGTTATGAATGATTTTGTAATTCATACGCTGTTGAATGAAAGTAGTTACGGTTGTAATGATATAAATTTTCATTGAAAATGAAGATAAAGAATTTAAAATATAATGGAATATGGTAGAATATGCAAGAAAAAATATCTGACATATGTTTGCGGTTCGAATCGGAATATCCGTCCCTCGGTCACCCGCCCATGGGCGGTAACTCGGCAAGCCTCGTTACCGCCCAATGGGCGGGTCACCTCGGGACGGATATTCCGATCCGAACCGCAAAATATGACAGATATTATTAATACAGTCGATTTCTGACCTAGATATTTAGTTATTTTGATATCTGAATTTGAAAGATAATGGTTAGACTGCATGCATAGTCACATTACATGGTGATTTTATTGTACATCTATAGCGGCGTATTTTTCATTCGTAAACAGATAGAGAGAGAAAATCAAATATGCCGTTCGATTTTAAAGGAAAGAAAGTACTGGTTACCGGAGCAGGAAAAGGAATAGGACGTGGAGTTGCCGTTGCATTAAATAAGGCTGGCTGCAAAGTGTACGCTCTAAGTAGGACTAAATCTACACTTGATAGTCTAGTGGAAGAATGTCCTGATATTATACCGATTGTTGCTGACCTTAGTGACTGGGAGGGTACGAGAGAAAAACTAGAACAGCTGGAAGTTTTGGACGGGCTTGTAAACAATGCTGGTATAGGAGGTCATGACTACGCTGCTGTTAATTGCCCTAAAGAATACATAAACCACGTACTGGACAACAATTTACTTAGTGCAATAAATTGCTCACAGGTTGTTGCAAAGAAAATGATTGAAGCAAAGGTGAAAGGATCGATCGTAAATTGTTCAAGCATTTCTGGCATAGCTGCTTTCCCAATGGGTCTTCCATATGCTGTTTCAAAAGCTGGTATGGATATGGTAACAAAACAGTTCGCACTGGAGCTAGGGCCTCACAAAATACGAGTAAATTCAGTGAATCCCGGACTTGTCAACACGCCATTGGTACAGAGCCTTATCGAAAAAGGAAAATGTTCAGTGGAAACCTTTTCATCTAGGTCGCCGATGGGAAGAATTCCGACAGTAGAAGAAATTGTTGGCCCGATTTTATACATCCTTAGTGAACATTCAGCTATGGTCACAGGTCAGATGCATGTTGTAGATGGCGGTTGTCTATCTAATATTACAGTCAAAGTGTAAACAAATGGAGTGTACATGCATATGCTGAAAAAGAATCACTGCAGTTGAAGTCTTAAGAAATCAAGCCTCTTCGCTGCATTTTACATAAAGTTAATAGTATAAGGATTTATAAAAACCAAATTGCCAAATGAACCCTGTGGTAACTTTTTTTATTATGATATATGTAAAATGAAATTGTATTGAAGGTATTTTGCACTTTTATTCTTACATTTTCTTTGATGTATTTTCGTAAATTCTGCAAAATTTCAAAACAACGAATGAGCGTTTACATAATTGGATATCATAATTCATATTATAAAACTATTTTACCTGATCTTCTTTATAATCTACAAGGTTGGTTTCAAAGTAAAAGCACGTTTGACAAGTTTATCGCTATTTTGAAGTACACGCATATTTAGAATTATAGATATTTTATGTTGTCTATAGATATTGTCGTGTTTAGCCCTGTCGTTGTAATTTCCAAGCAGATTATATCTTAACTATGAATAATAAATTATTATCTTCACCCTATTGTTTTTATATCATCTCTATTGTTCAAGTTATGATGGATGAGTTCAGGCTTTAGAGAATTATTTTGTAGATTCAATTATCTAAATACAATGCCAAATATTTTTACTAAGACTCCTGGCTATATTCAGAATTCATCCATTGTTTTAGACTTTAAAGGTACTCCACTGAGGTACGGCCGAATGTCACAAAAAAAAGTAAAATTTCACAAACCGATAATTTTTTGTTACCTGCGTGTTAGGGACATTGAAACAGAATCAGTGATACATTGATATGTGTCCTTTGGATTGGCAAATCGTTTGAAATACACATTTTCTCCAATTTTGTGGGAAAAGCGTTTAAACACCTTTCAGTTTGCAAATCTGAATAAAAACAACGGTCACGTGATGATTCTCGGGATGACTAAAAAGCGAAGCGGAGAATTTTTGTGTATCGACAGCAACGAAAGTGCGAAAGTGGAATATACCAACAATCCATAAATTTAAAAGCAAATTATGGGTTTGTTTGTTAAATTTCTTGTTGTTCACATATGTTCTTGTGAGAAAAATCTTTCAAAAGCAATTTCAATATATTTAAAGCATTGCATTGTTGTAATCATGTTTTTTTTCTCCATTACAATGATGAATTTAGCTAAACGTACGGAGTTGGAAACTGACATACACAAATTTTACAAATATTCTATGTTAATTTGAGAGCTTTCGTGTAATTCTTAGATATTGTGTATTAACTTTGTAATGGTTAAAATATCATGATATCTAGGCTAAGAACATTTACTTTGTCAATCAGTGTAATGGGTCCTATTTCAAAGGTCACTTTGGTTTATCTGATACTCGTTCTGGAAAAAAAAACTTCGTAATACCTTTTATACAACGAACATGAACTTGAGTATTGTAAGCATAAAAAATCACACGCACACTCAGAATGTTATTCTAGAGATTTCTGTTTAACTCTGATCAAAGCACTGAAAGCACTGGCTAAATAGAGAATGAATACGGCCTCATTATATTTTATATGTTTATATTTCTAATGTATGTCTAGTGCATATAATTAAAATTCTATAAGAAAAAATCGATCTCCTTTGCTAGAGAGATCTGAAATTTAATACTTATCATTTTACATACATACCTGCATATTTATCCGGATTGGATGTAAACTTTGTTGATGAGAAGTTTACTACGTTTTGATCTAGACATTCAAAACTATAGGTAATTGATACCTGTTTCATGCACATGGTAAACATTATCAAGAAGGTCGGAAAAGAGTTACAATCTGGCTCTATTAATATTATTATTATTATCATTATTGATTTAGCAGATACCATGATAGATTTCTTATTTATTGGAAGGCCTTTGTTCTAGTGATGGGTCAATTGAGCTGTGCTATAATGTTACCAATATATTGAAGCTTCCCGGTGGAAAAGAAATGTAGAGCGTTATAATAGTAAAAAAGGAAAACTGGAATAAAGACAAACAAGGCGACGGCAACGTTCACAGGACGCAGCCCCCGACACAGTCAAGCTTCCACAGCAGGGTTATTGCCGTGACTAGTGAAATAAACTTAAAACTGATTATATAGTTGTTGTTCTTTAAACCCTAACATTCTTTCAAATTAAAAGAAACAAACAAAATCATGATACTTGCAAGACAAATGTGAAGGGTAGGTAAGTAAAGGTAACTTTAAGAATTCAGTAAGATATTATTAACCTCACCTCAAACAACAACCATTACTTAAACTATGTTTTATAATACTTCGAACTCCTAGACGGTATACAAACCTGGGAAAGGGCAATGCATATCTTAACCATTGTTTTACTCCTTATAGCCTGTTTATCATGGCATACTCATTGTTAATAGTTTTGTAAATATTTTGATAAAAAAGGTCAGGTTCATTTCCCGACTATTTTGGAAAACACGAGTGACTGGTTTCAAAAACTGCAATGGTTAAATATTGATCGGGTGCATTTCATTGCATAAATAAGTTAGGAAGAGAACCCTGCTTTTCTTCCTTTATAGCACTAAAACCTTTACTTTTCTCTACTTTTGTCTCTTCTTTCTTCCTGTTTCTCATTTTTTGTTTAGTCTCTTTATTTACCACTTGGAAGCCTGAAATTAATTTTTTCATTGATAATTTAGCTGTGGTCCTGTGTTGCTTGGTCGTGTGGGTGTTGCATTCATTGAATGTTATCATTCCTTTTTGTATTTCTGATCGAAGACCAGGAAATACAAAGCTAACAGTCAATCTCTGACACAGCGGTTTCACGACATCCCTAACAACAAGCATGTCTTAAAACAGCTGAAAACTAGCGATTTAAAAGAAAGAAATATTTTCATTTTGTTATAAGAATCCAACAAATTACAACGCATTCAAAGTTTAAAAGTAGCTTTGGGTTATAGAATTGTCAATGAATGCACATTCACAAATTACGCGGATGAATATCATTTTAATCAATGAAAATGCTATTTTAAGCGATGTCGAGAGCGTATTTCACAAATAAATCTGACTGTCGAGTAGTGGAATATATACATGTCGGACTGTTTTGGCGAGAAGATTTTTGTTAAATTATTTACATCAATGTTAAACAACAGGTTTATCTTGAACAAAAAACCTCAAAATTAATAAGGATTACAAACCCGAAATGCAATGAAAAATCTAAATTTAGTATTACTTGATTTTATTCAGGCATTGTTCCTATATCTTCTCCGTGGTGCGAGGGTAACGCGCTCGTTTAGTGTGTCTGGGGTTCAAATAAAATTCAAGGCAATTATTTTTTATAAAGTTTCTTTGTTAAGGAAATAGCCACGATATGCAAGGGTAAAGTGTGGCTGTCATAAAAATGAACATAAATGATTTTTTGATGCAACTCTAGTCATGCAAAATTCCATATGTATCAAACTCTGGTACCAAGCAAGAAGAATTATAGTACATAAATATAAACTTATACAGGAAAATAATACAGTTATACAGTGCGATTTAGATTGCAAAGATCAGAAAATACCACAGAGCTTACAGCCTTTTGATTTATCTTGTTTGTCGTATGTATGTTCTGGAGATTAGGTGGGTTGTTCTCGTAATACTTTAAGATTTATAAGATTGTGTATTAAAAGCTTTTGTAAATTGTTTCGGAAATACTGGATATCGTTTTGAAAATTTATAGAGCTACTAAAGTATTTAAAACCCATGAACGAAAAATTTCACAGTAAGTATTTCGGTTATAGTGATTATACCGTAATCAAACGTTAAAGGTCTCCTAAGAAATATTCTTTGGAATTAAATACTAAGTGTAAGCACTAGAACATAAACCACAAGATTGCTTGCAAAATCTTTATCGGCAGGAAAAATTGGTTCACAAAACATGATTTTTCACAGTCATGATCAAATGAACAGACTGTCATTTTCTTCCTGTTACCGAAAGATACGAACAGACTGTCATTTTTAACATGTTACCGAAAAATACACACAAGGAAGATTTCAAGTAGAAGACACGTCACTGACAGAATGTTCTTAATATTTGAATAGAAAACAATTTGCTAAAGCCAATTTATGAAAGAGAAATCTGGGATGCCACTTATAAAATTATTTGCCCATAAAAGAGGGTTTATTTTACTCGTTTAGGTTATTTTCAAGAACAAAGTCTCAAAAAGCAAAGGTTAGCTGATATCAAAATGTAAACCGCGACATATAAAATTTATTTACCTGTGAAACTGGAGTGAAAATGTGTTAGTTTATCAGGTTTTGTCTTCAGTGCCTTCAGCACTTTGATCTTATATGTAGTACAAGAAAACTATATCGTTTTCACCGAAAAATTATCAAATTCTAAACAAGTTTCTAATAGAATCATAAACATTTATTGTATCATTGTTTGAAGACATTTCTGTTGAAAACGTGTCAGAGTTAAATCGAATTCATATACATGCACAGTGCGTAACTGGAGTGCAGGTAAAAGTTCCCAACACTCCAGAGCATGTCCATTGATGTACTCATTCCTTTTTTAGGGGGGGGGGTGCTTTTTGTGGAATAAGGATAGAAATGCCACATTCAGAAGCTGGTTCATAGGTTTTTTCTGGGGTTTCATATTGTTACAACAGGGAACGTGCATTCAATTTGGCCTATGGTATGAATAAGATGTAATTGTGTGTGGAACGTGTATGTACGATCCTATCAAGATAGCCTACGAAACGTCACTCATTACATACACAGATGCCCGTTTGTGCCAGAAACAATTTTGCAAAGGGCGCACATGAGTTCTTACTCCACCAGTAAAACTGAAGAGTCGCCAAAATGACCTACACAGTTTTGTGTTACGTAACCCCACTTAATTCCAAAAACAATCAAATCAAATGAGACATGTCATTAACTGTATTTGATTTAAATAGATAGCGTTAAATACATTTATAAGTGTGATTACACTGTGCTCGTTATAGTATAAATATTACCGATGCATTATGTTTGCCTTAGAATATTGAAATTGAAACTGAAATGTCAATGAAAATAATTGTACATGTATATCATATCTTTCCGTTTTGTCTAGAAAATGTCCGCTTCGCTGGCGTTTGATTTTTCAAGACAACGAAATTGCTACCTTGATTATCTTTTATACAGTTTTTCTTCGTTATACTCAAGTTATATAAACATGATAGGTTACAGTGTTGAGAAAAAAATCAATAGAATTTTTTACCCCCGTTTACTCTGTTGTTCCAAAAATGTCCGTTGCGTATTTTAGTCATACCCGATGAATTGTGGGTAACTTCTGTACATGCCTGGGAAAACCAACTTTCATTTTTGCATCAAAAGCTAATGTGAAAATGCATTTTCTAGCATACTTGTTGTTAGAGGGTTGGTTAAAGTGTAAGTTATTGTTATTTTAGTTATAATATTGTGATTTGTGAGGAAATTTGTTTACATTTTTTTGGACACCAAATTACCTGTCAGACCTCAGTGTAGCCCCTTTAAGAAGTTTTTTTCCTTTACAACATGGCGATTTTTATATTCTGTGTTTCACTTGCAATTCGATGCAATAGTTTACCATTTTGGAATATAATTATATATATCTATATAAAGTTATACAACTGATGTTTTTTGTTGTTTTTTTTTCAGTATAAAACTATTCAAGTGTGATGTCCCCCGAGACAGCTCTTGTTACCATTGCTAAAAAATAGTATGAAACATCTCAATTCCGACCTTGATTATGAAGATAACATTAAAACACACCACCTCATTTCCGTTATTAGGGTGATCGTATGACATAGTAATAAAAATAAACTTGTGCAGGATATCTTTAAAAAGATAACGATAAAGACAATGTTCAGTCACTTACACGGATCTTACTATTTGTACATTGATATCGGCGACACATAAGAATATTGATATAACATAAGAAAAAATGTTCAGCTCATTACCTGAAAGTACCATGTCCAATCTTTTGCCTTTCTAAATAATGTATTGTAACTACTTTTATTTAAAGTTTTGATGATTATGAATACAACATCATATATAACAAGGTTAATAACTCTGATATCTAAATTTAGATTTCGATAGAATTTGGTAATTTCTTATTATATCTTGAAATCAGTACAGACTCTAGTTTTACTTATCACCGCCTATTTAATAAATGGCAAGGTTTATAGCTCAGACCCCCGAATATCATAAATAACCTCCGTCATTCTTTTAAAATCTTCACCTACTCTGATGATTTTAAGATGACTGTTCCATCACAACATGTCTACCGATCCCTAATTGATGCAATAGTTGGACATTTCAGAATAGTTTTCATATTGTAAGGATCTGACATTCTAGCATAATTCTGAAATGTACTTACAACAGTACTTATAATGAAATCCAAGTGACATTGTGAAATCCTATAGCTTCATAATTTGTTGACTTCTCCAAGAACAAGATTCACTTACCTGATTGATCTAAAGGAACACTGTATTGACACATATTGACTTTGCAATTTAGGTGATAGAAATGTTAAACTTATATCTTATTGTATAGCAGAAAACTGATTTTCTCTTTACATTTTCTGTGTAGCAGACGTCCAATGACAGACATCTTTGAAATCTGTCACTTCATATTTTATATTGATGATTTCTTATTGTTAATATCAATTTCAGTCAAATTCAATTCAAGAACGTAATTTATGTAAAGTTTATGATTGATTAAGGTCAGAAATCGTTAAGTATTCACTACATGTTTTTTTTATATTCATGATTTTCGTATTTTATATGAGATTTCAATATGGCCGCCATTGAAATCCAAGATTTCAGATTCAGAAATCCGCCCGTCTGTCCATCTGAGGATTTCCAGATTTCTGTTGTTTCATTGGTGGATTTCAAACATCGAACCTTATAAAAGTCGGAATCCAACCAATGTTATCACTTCGGTCTCGACCTCCATGTAATTTAAATAAAGTTTTAAAACCGCCCAAGTTCAAATACAGTAAACATCTTACAAACGACATTGTTATCCAAACTTGTAAGTTTGTATGTATTTAAATCCAATATTAGTAACTCACTAGACACTATTGTTGCCGAAATACTTGTTATTAACTTAGAAAACTGTATAAGAATTGTGTTTATTTTCCACATCCTGACATACGTTTACAATATTTATAAAGAAAACTATACATAATGATATTTCAAGTATTTTATTAGTCAAGTGTTTTCTTTTGCTCTTGGTTTAAGAGCATTCATTTAATTAAGCTCTATTGCGATACAAGTTCTTGGAACTTAAAGTTACCACTTTCGAGTCTGCTTCTTGGAACGAACCAGTACTGGCCTCAAGGTTATAAAACTTTTTTCTGAGTTCTGTCTCAAATCTCATGATTTCCATTGGTCAGTGTACATTCTGTGGCGTTTTTTGACCAATCAGATACCTGAGATCTGAGTTTGAGCTTAGATAATTTTTTATAACCTTGGACCCTGGTGTCACATGAAGAAACATGGTCGTGACACGAATAGGGCTCGAATAAGTGACCCACGGGTTGAGAGGCAGAAACCTTAACCACTATGCCACTGCTCTTCCTTCTTTTGCTCTTGTTCGAAACTGCATCACGGCTAGGAAAAGTTATCATTGTGTCATAGCATACAGTTTTGAAATGGGTAACGAAAGCGCAATGTGGTGTTGAAAACATTTTATATAATCCAAAGATATAGCTGATAAGCTGTTGCTTTAATGTTTCTTGCATAGGCTAGTCAGTACATATACAATGTATATAAAATATAAATATACATGTATGTATATATTTTGCGAATATTCACACACATGCATAGATGGATAACAAATTTAAATAATTCATGTGACATTATATTTCCTGTGAATATGTTACAGTATTCTTAGCATTCTCAAACCAGTTTAAAAAATCAAAATAGCATCTAGGCCTACAAAAAACACTTAACTACCTGGAGAAAATACTGGTGGGTGTTTTAAATTTTCATGACTCCGACATGGGACGAAATTATCGTCCCAGATCTGACGCCATTTTGTCAAATTTGCAGCAATTTACTAAGCTTGAACCAAGAACACAACAAGTTCAGGTCCTGTCCTTGCCTGCTATTGTCTTCCAAATGAAGACATGTATCGCTATCGGAAAACTAAACTGACTCTGCACCCTTCCAAATGTGCTAGTGGCATTGATTTGACCTAAAATGTGTTTAAAACCTTGTTATTTATGCAATAAAATATCCATTTATTGAAAAAAATTACTGTTATTTTGTTATAGATCTACAATTTAACAGTAAAAATAATATTTTAATATTGCACCCTCCATAGAAATTTTCTGTCTAGTTCTGGCTTCCAAAACTTTATAAGCCGCTCTTTAACATTTTTGTTTTTCATCTGATGCGGCATGTCATAGTATATAAATGGGTACGCTGAAGACCTTAAGCTATTTTCTGTCTTGTAATTTTCTGTATATTTGTCAAAAACAATCGTCAAACACTCAAAATATTCTTACATAGTCATAAAAGCATTCGTTAAATATATATGGTTGAATACTATGATACCTTTATCAGACCAAACGGAGACATAATTAGTGATGGAAATCGGATGAAATTTGTCCCAATCGATCATCGGTTCAGTCGGACGGGACATAATCGATAACTTTCGAATAAAGTCGCGTTAGAAAAAAATAGGGAAGTAACATTTTATTACCAAGGCACATGATTATATTTAGTAACATGAACACTTTTCAACACAGTTTTAACCTTATAAAGTCATAATTTTACGAAATGTTTTTTAATTTTAAGGGATGTCAAAAAATACCATTCACATCACATTATATAACTATTGTTTACATAACTTATTGATCCTATTCAACTCAAAATTGTCTCTGAGTGATTTTTTGCGATCGGGAAGTGTTCTTAAAAGAAAATTACCGTCAGAATTAATTCCCTTTGATACTTTGAACATTTTCGACTCGCAGAACAAATTTTTGTGAATCGATTATTGTCGTTTTACATAACAGTAACTGATTATCGACGACTTGCGACAATCGGAACATCACTAGACATAATGGATAAATTTAGTAATGTTGAAGCTTGAAAAGTATTTAGTTGTATACAACCTGTAAACAATATTTGGAATATCTTGGACAGTATCCAATTAGCGGACAATTGCGAAGAGTTACGATTTAACCGTCGTTAATTTATGCTGTCCAATCATTATTGACTTTACGCATCACGTGGGTGTGACGTTTACATGTAAACATAAAAAACAATAACAAACTACAAGACACTGAGCACGTCAGTAAATTGCGACGTATATTCCTGAATCCACCATGAATGTGTTGAATAAGGACGAATTAGGGGGCCTAAACGGTAAGCATCAAATTTGAACCAATATATTTGTGGAGAAATGACTGCATGCCGTATATATACACTTATCTGATCTTAATTGGTGAAAGAAACGCCCGGATGTTAACCATCACTTTAAAATATGGATTTTTTTTCATTTAATGACATTTTATTGGCATATATTAAAATGATTTGAAGATAGATATGCAGTGTCTTATCTAGGATTCAAAAATTGTGGGGGTTATCGAAAACTGAGAATTTATTACAGTTGTTGATTTTTTTCCCCTTCTTGTAACCCCCCCCCCCCCACCGCCTCTGGAAAAAAGAGGTTGAATTCTCAAAAAAAAAAACATCCTCACTCCTAGAATAGACACTGGATATGTTTTGATTTAATTCAAAGCTATTTAGGTAAAGGGTCAACTCGGCCCTATACCAACTCGGCACGGGTCAACTCGGCACAGGTCAACTCAGCCCTCTATTAAGATATTGATTGTTTATAGAGGTGTAACGATTCATCGATGCATCGATGCATCGCGATCTGTCTTGTCCCCGATGTATGCATCGTAATGAAATTACAAATTCCAATATATTGCGATGCAATACATATTTCACCTCCCGATGTATCTTTAGTGGTGTATTGTAAGACTGAAATTGTTAAACTGCCATATTTACAGCAGTTGACTTTCAATTTGCTGTTATGGTTTAATTAAAAATACCTTTAATCCTCAAGTAATCAGAAAAGTAAATTGTTAAAAGATCAAAATCGGAAACCAAGTTATAACAACAAGTTAAGAGTTTATTTTTTTGTAATTGTAATAGTTTTATATTATATTCGTAATTATGCTGTAAACAAATGGCCAATTTTTTATATACTAGCTTAGTATAAAAGTCAGTATCGTGATACGTATCGCATCGCAACATAAGAATCGCAATATGCATCGCATTTCTTCAAAGTATGCAATACATATGGTGAATCGCATCGTTTTGAAAAACAAATATCGCGATATGTATCGTGACAGAAAAAAATGGCAATGCACAGCCCTATTATAAATTGTTTAGTTAATAAAAATTTTAAGGAGAAAATTACTATAAAGTTATTCAGAAGTATGATCACTTACAAACAGAAATTGAAAAAGTTGGCAGTGTACCTGTATGTATTGTTTGAAATTATCTTTGTTAACAAGAGATATCAAGACAATATAATTATCACGGTGCATATCCATATCGGTACCCTCTTTGCGAAATTTGCTGAAACGGTACACTCTTTGCACATGCACAGGCCACTCTCTGCTAAAAACAAACCACGACATATGCTTTTATTTGCGTTAATCGTTAAGTATGTAATATTTCTTACTTTTATGTAAATATTACATACTTAACTTAACGATTAACGCAAATAAAAGCATATGTCGTGCCTTGAGGGTACCTATGTGTAAAAAAATGAGAGGGTACCTGTGATATAAAAAATCAAATGAAGAGAGGTAGCCCGTGCCGCTGCAAAACCGAAAGTAGGGTGTTTTTATGAATTTTACATTTATTTTCAACAATATACTGCCATTTGTCCGAAGATGATATGTAAATGAATATATTAGATATGTATGATGCATATATAATCAAGCCACAGGTTCATTTCAGCCCGAAAAGTATGTCGAGGTGATGGGCGAAGCAAGACATGTCGATTTTTTGTAGCTTATTGTGAAGTTGTAGTACATGAAAAACGGGCACATGCCAAATCAGCACATAGATAAAACATTCTAGTGTTCCGTGGTATACATCTTTTCCACGTGTCATACCTCCTTTCCTTATTACAATGAATTTTTACTGGCTTGTTATCCATCGCTGGTTTGTTTTGAGCAGAGAATGACCTGTGCATGTACAAAGAGGGTACCGTTTCAGCAGATTTCGCAAAGAGGGTACCGATATGGATATGCACCGTGATTATGTTAAATATTGATAAATAAATAGAGGTTTTAGATTGAATTTTTGTGACAATAAATGTAATTGTATTTAATGCTATTTGTTCTTTAATACGACCAATGCTGTTTTAATGATATTTTTGACAAACAATCTGGAGTAGCAAAATATGCATATAAATTGTAAAGTCCTTCTTTCTCTACAAATTCACATACAAATTGGTACTTTCATCAATGAAACTTTTCAATATCATTGAGTAGAGGTCTGTTACTGTGTAAATGTTAAAATAAGAAAGTTATGATTAAAACATATCAAAAGTAATAAAAGTAATCATTATACCAGTAATATATAAATATGAGCCGAGTTGACCCGTGCCGAGTTGGAAATTAGGGCCGAGCTGATTTGATGACCGAGTGCGTTTTAGGGCCGAGCTGACCCTGATTCAGCTATTTATAATTAGCAGATTGGAATCACATGCACTAGACATCTATATACGCATATACACTATATATTCTTTATTTATAGTATAATTAAATATATGATATACATTGTATGCATATATAGGTAGTCAAAATCTTTCTTCAGGCCGTTCACATATAAATTCACCGTGGCTGAAGGGTTTTCGCGCTCGCTTAGGAAGCAAGAGGTCTGGAGTTCAAATCCCAGTAAAGGCAACTAATTTTTTTTTCAAATTGTTTAAGTCAAATAAACATTGGATTGAATATCAGTGTTGCAATTAGTCTTATAGCCAATTTACTACCGTTAAAACGCTGGAAAGCATTGGTGGCACTATACATATAATCTCACAACCTGTACCTTTCTTAAATTCTGAGACCCAAACAAGTTCAGCGCCTTCTGTGCTTTGATTTTATTACTGAATTATTTGCTTTTTAGGTGTGTCAAGTGCCTATGTAGTAGTTTACTGTAGTATACAAATGTTTTACCAGTGTTGCTGTATGTTTTTCAGAGTTTGCAGAGTCATGGGTGGATGTTTACAAAAATGAGAGTAGTGAGAACTCCAGTAATGGAGCAGGGTCTCCCAAGAATGAGAATTTCCAACAATCAGGGCTGTACACACCACTGAATATAGAAAAATTACTGCAAGACGCGCAACGAGAAAGTGAACAAAATAGTAGAGAAACCTCCACAAGGACAAGGTATGTTGTTGACAGTTATTAAAGATCCTGTAACCCAATTTTTTCATGGTTTTTATTTCATTATTAATATGATGCTCAAATAAAGATTTGTAAATATTGTAAGTATAATAAACATTATTTATAAAGATATTACCCAATTTAACACTTAATGTAAATAAAGGGAGGTAATTAGAAATTTGTTTTCTATAAATTCTAAGTCAAAATTTTCCAATAAGAAATGAATGCATGTAATTTATTGGTTAAATATAATGTGCACAAATATTTGCAGTACACATTTTACATATTCTTCAATATGTTCGAAAATTGTTTTATTTGCATAATTATATACATATATAATTTTTGCAAGTGTGATGGTCTCTTTCAACATACATACATGGTCTCTTTCCGGTGGCGTGGGTAAACAAACTGAAACACACACAGTAACAATATCAATCACAAAATATACGGGATCTTTAACAGTATTATCATCTTGATTAATCCTTAAATAATTGCATCAAAACTTTTGCATACATATGAAAATATAAAATTACAAACAAGCATGGCAAAATGTAAAATTATTTTGACTTTTATCTTTACGCTCTCAATCTACACAGATAACAGAATGTATAGACTTTATTCAAGATTGGATCTAAGTACTACTTGACATGTATGTAATCAACATTAGGTCAAAGGTTAAGGTCATACTTAGAGATTGAAACTTCTACATTTGTATAGGGATTGCTGTGAGGCACAAATGTTCAGTATTATCAGGCATTAATTGTGTTATGAGATATAATAAACGTCCTCAAGGACACGATTGCCATGCAGAGATTTGTAGTCAGATACATGTAAGAAAATGAAAATTATGGTATTGATCACAACCCTTGTGAATATTCATTGTTGTCAGACAAGTATTTTATGTTTATGATGGCAGTATTTCAACACAAATTATTGTGCCAATCTCTTGTTAGCTTGACTTTTTTAAAAAAAAACAGTAGAGGTATTGTTATAATCCTGGCGGCGTTTGCCATTGCCCTCCGCAAACTTGTACCTGGATCATAACTTTTTTAGTTCTTGGTGCATTGTTTTCATACTTGGCCACAACAACCCTTTGGACAAGACCTTCAAGAAGACCAGACTAATATTGACCTTCATACATGAATGACCTTGACCTTCAAGGTCAAATGGTCTTGATTTTGCTTGTTTTTGGCTGATTTTTGATTTTTTTTAGCTATAACTTAATGTACTTATTGAATGGATTGACTTCATATAATAACAGAATATTCTTTAGGATAAGACCTTTATGTATATATTAAACCCAAATCAACCTTGGCTCTTTCTTGACCTTGACCCTGAAGGTTAAATTATTGATTTTTCACTGACTTTTGCTGTAATTGACTGCACATGTAACTTAGTAATTAATCAATGGATTATTTTCATACTTTGACAAAACAACAATTTGAACAAGACCTTCTAAAAGGTTGAACTGACCTAAACCTTGAGCATTAAATGACATTGACCGTCAAGGTCAAATTATTGAATTTTAGTTAAATTGTCGTAATTTGGTTATTTATGCACTGATTTAATTCATATGTGGACAAAACAAATCTTGCGACCAAACAGACATGTGGAATAATTTAGATATGACTGACCTTTTCAATGGCCTTGCATGTATATATGACCGTCAAATGCTTGAAATTTGATTATATTTTCTTAACTTTGTTATTTACTTTTGGAAAGGATTTATACTTGGACAAAACAACAAGTGTGACTAGACGGACCTATAAAAATAAAAAAAGGAAAACCTTATTTTGATTTTTTTTTAATCTTTTTTTAAAGATTTATTTAAACCCTTTTTTTTGCTTTAAGAAAAATTAAAAAGTTGAGCGTTGTCTCAGCAGTATAAATTTGTTTTACTTACAACCTCTCTCTAGATTTGATTATTATAAGATTATTTAATTCATGAGAAGTAGCATCTCAGATGTTAATTGTTGTTTTCTATACATAATATTTTAACCCTTTCCCCCATGAGCATATTGTGGAAAATGGCCGTTTTCACTGAAAAGCCTCCTGTTACAAGTTCAAACTGCTATGAAACTATGAAAAATGCTTCAATACTAATCAAACTTGGCACAAATGTTGACTGGACCATTGCCTTTGTAACGACATGCTCAGTCTTAAATTTCCTGTTACCATGGCAACGAGGGGGCATCTCAAAATTGCCCAAATTCACTATTTTGCCTCGATTTTTTCCATCAAAATTTATTTCAAAGTGCTGCAACTTCTCAAGGGATTGAGATAGAGTGAAAGGCTTTTCAGCGTTGGTTACACGTTACATTATGATCGACCTGGGGTCATTTTTAGCCTCTCACAAGTCCAAAATTTTCTTGGCGATGAGGGGGACTCCGCCCCCCTTCAAACCTCCCTAACAGAAGGGGGCACATCCCCCTTCTGGCAACCCCCTGATGTATCTTTTGGATGGGGGGCGGCGCCGAAAAAGTGCTCAATTTTTTTAGCAACATTTCTCAAATGAAAACATGTGTTTTGGGCCCAAATAGGACATTTTTTCACTCTTTGAGGCCTAAAAAAAGGGGGGGGGTCGAAAGTGCGTTGTTTCGCGTATATATGGGGTAAAGGGTTACATCTGTAAACCTGCCAAGCTATAAATTATATGGCATCTAAGGTCTTTAAATTTCAGTTGTTTAATAATTGTTATAATAACTCATATTGACCAATAGTGAACTAGTGTGTTGTATTTAATCTCTTCAATCCAGGCTATATTTTATATATCTTGAAAATTCTTCGTAAAAGAAAAATAACAAAAAATATTTTTGCTCTGAATGTAAATGAAGAAAATTACTTTGATTGATATCAAAGTATGAAATGTACATCTATGGTATGTGAGGCATTCAGCTTTTTTTGTTTTTATGTATATTTATGTATATATGTATCTGTCAGTGACAGGTTAATACAGGTTCAAAGTAGGGTCATTTTTTTTATCTGGCCAATAATTGTAAAGGATGACAGATAGTCTGTATGGAGTGTTTAATTACCTGCCGGCTGCTAAATTTGGATAAAAGATTAGCTGTCCAGTCTTAAGATTGTATCGAAATAAAAAAAATATAGTCATTGCATGGGCCAACTTTACTCAAAATTTCAAATACATGCATCTATCTTGGTGGTATATAATTTTAAAAATGGGAGGCATATTTAGAGTCATGGGGGCAGGGGTGTTGGGGCCCAGGGGTGGGTCACACATGTGTAGTCTGACCATGATAATTTATATACTGTTGTTTTATCTTGATATATCCCTAAAATTTGATAATAGACAATTCCAAAAATAGAAATTCAGGTGACAGCACTTTGCTTTTGGGGTAATGAAAGTAGATGATAGCAATAATGCTTATTTAAGTTTACATAGTTACATGTACTGAGAGTCTATGTTAAATGCGTGTATGTTTAATCCATTGACTTTTTTTATTTTCAGCCCGAAAATAAGGACACCAACCGAGGGAGAAGTAACACAGGTTAGGAACATTTCATTTGAAAATCTGTTCATTTCTAGCTCAAATATTTGAGAAAGCACTCTGGACTATATACAAAATTTGAAATCATTTTGGACAAACAAACAAAAAAATTAAAAACAAAAAACAAGTATATTCTTTTATGTAAAGATTAGATATTTTCATTCATTCATCTGACTGACACTCATGTTAATTATAGTTATTATAGATAAACTCATATTACAGATAATTAAAAAAAATGATATCAACCTTTACAACAGCTGCAATTTAAAGTGGTCAATTTTCATTACATTGTATTTTCATCAATTTAGAAACTTATTTTTACAGCTGATTTTGAAAGATTGTAAATTTTAAGTCAAACATTGTTTGATAGTGATAGGTAGCTTGCCTTAAAACTGATGGCAAACACATTTAATGTCAGTGCATTCATGAAGTTAATTTAGTTTGTGTAATTTCTCATATAAGAGAATATTATAGAAATTAGTAGGTAAAACATAGGTATAGAAACATCAATGTTTCAAATCTGTGTAATAAATACTAACACATTTTAAGCTGTTTAAAATATGTCTTAATTTTTCAAACAAAAGTGCAAAGTACATGATTGTGTACCAATCACTCGACATAATGTCACAGATCTGTATCTTGGCAGGTTTAAGTTAAAAATAATTGAAGTTTAAAGATTTTCGCTGAACAAAATAGTCAAAGTCTATATGCATAAATAAAATAAAATAGAGTGACATTTTTCAAAAATGGCTTTTGGTCATCAAAAGGTCAAAACAGCTTCTCCCAAATTGATATTGATATTGATCAGTGAATTTTGAAATGAGGTCACAAACCTGAATAAATGATTGTACTTCACAGTTTTCCCTTTGTCCTATTTACAATAAAGCATTGTAATCTGTTGTATAATTATATGTATAATGTAATGGTAATAATGGTCAACTGGGTCATGAACTTAAATGAAAACCTTTGTCATAATTATGTGAAACAGCTTTATATTTTATATTTCTTATTCAATTATTGACAAAATTCTAAGTCCTAAATCCCGTCTAAATTATTGTTCATCACATATTTTCCGCCTAAGCCTTAGGCGGAATATGATTTTGCTTAGCAGGAATTTTGTAAAGCAGGAATTTTTACAAAATTACATGTCCGTCTTAAATTAGCAGGAAAATCTTGTATACACGGAAATTTTAAGTGTTTTCCTGCTTATTACGGGATGTATATTGATTAAGATTGATAATTTGACTGTAAAAATTGTTTGTTTGTTTGTTTGTTCAATTTTTCTTCATCACACTTTACACAATAAATTTGTTTAGGCTTATTATTAGGCAATAAACATATATTGTCTATGTATTGTTTGCTTCATATTGAATAAATTTTCATATTTTTAAAAAAATATGATCTTAAGTAACTGTTTCTTGAATGGCATTGCCTTTATCGTTGTTATGATAGTGCAAAATTATAAAAGGAGTGCAAAATAATTCATGGCCTACATGGTCTATAGGCTGCATTTATTAAGTTGGAAACAAAAAAATCATAATTGAAATATGTTTTCGTGTATTAAACACATTTTTGAATATTTTTACAAGTATGCATCAATTGAGCTGGATACATTTACACTATTAAACATGTACTCAAAAGAGGCGCGTCACGACAAAACCAACATGGTGCGTTTGCGACCAGCATGGATCCAGACCAGCCTGCGCATCCACGCAGTCTGATCAGGATCGCTTACAAACCCTATTACAAGTAAAGAAATTGATAGGGAACAGCATGGATCCTGATCAGACTGAGCGGACGAGCAGGCTGGTCTGGATCCATTCCAGTTGCAAACGCACTATGTTGGTTTTGTCGTGACGGGGCTCAAATATATTTTCAAAATTTTCATAGAAATTAAAGCTTAGATCTTTGGGGATGCTACTAATAAAGGATAAGTTTATAAACTTGTTATTTTACTTTTTTAGG